GGGGGGGGGGAGTAGCCAAATTCTCACTTTGTAAGTAACTAGATTGATTGCCTGGCAGCACGAAATCGTTGTGACGTGGCAACTTCAAAGTTCATTTCTCTGATGCTACTAGAGGGTTGAAGGACGGATCATTACATGGCGTTTTTTCGTCCAACACGGACATCTGATACCTGTAGGAGCGAAGGTTGAACGCTGAACGTTTAAGCTTGGATCCCGTGTACATGGCGCCAGCAGCCCGCAGGAGCCTACTAGCGCCACCGGACTGAACGGAGACATGGAAGGCGCTTACTACTGAAGCTTGGTCGCTCCACGACGGAGAATATGTGACAGGGCAGAGATCCCAACCACCGGTAGCGTCCGAATTGGCTCATCTTCACGGAGGAGGAGCGGCTTAATTCAAACCACGGCCACGGTAGTAAGTAACCATTGTACACTGAACTAGTAGTATCTAGTAGATTCGGAAATTAGAATAAATGATCATCGGGATCGGAATCCTTGTCGCCGACCACTACGAAGAAATGACAAATGTTCCTCGGCGGAGAAGGCCTATCATTTTGGAAGAGAGGGAGGGCTAACCCTATTCAGTCAGCACCCTTCCGATGCCTTTTCATTGCGGGGAAATGATCATTTGTTTGTTGTGATCGATCTTGAATCATGTTGCGGCGGTGGCAGCGATCGCGGTAATTATTACACCGATAATCCTTGCAGTGAAGACGTTGAGACGTGGGCTGAAACAATAAAGTAGCATGACTTATTCTCAGAATCTCAAAGCAAAGTACAGCAACATAGTGATTGATTACGATCATATCATAGAATACATGCATCCATAGTTATATTTGTGATCAAGAACGTGTGGTGATCCATTATACAAAGAGCAGAACGATTAAGTCCTCAAACAATTTCATGCTACAGTCGCAGTAGGGGGACGAATAGGACTGGTCTCGGTCAGCACGACCTGACTCAATGTTGACACCCGACGGTTCAAAGCAGAACCATCCTCAACGATCCTGATGCACTCAATCAGCCTTCGCCCTATATTCGCAGTATTGGACTCGTGAAATTAAATGCTTACGTTACATTCAAAGACGAGGTGACAGTTCTTGTGACAGGAGCCCCGAAGACGAGATCGCGCTCAGCAACGGTAACCTTGAAGAAAAGACCGACACTGCCAGCCTGGAAACAATCGTTATAGTATCTGACAAGCTAAGAAATCAGATAAACTTACTTCAGCGGGTTCATTCTCATTCTTCGGCACCTCAACCGAATCAGAGAAAGACACCTGCGCCGAGCCCTCCAAGAACTTTTCTCCTTGCAGAAGGTCCTTGTATTGCGCACGCGTTAGATGCTTGCCGTTGACAGTGAAAACAGCATCGTCGGCGAGGAATGCATTGAATGCATCATTGAAGTTGGCCGATGAGGTTGCTGTGTAGAGAGCAGAAACGCTCTCCTTGGTCCAGATCGCAAGAGGGGGGACTTCAGGACCTGGTCCAAGTATGACGGACATAGTGCGCGAGTGTTGTTTAGGTGAAGAGGGGAGTGTAGGATGGTGGATAATGCTAGGGATTCGAGGCCAGGTTGCAAATCCTTTATACCCCTGGGCAGTGCTGTGAGGCGCCCCTCTTGCTCCGGCAAGCCTGGCAAACGTGCACCGGTATGCTGCAGCACTGCGGGTTCCTAGAATCCCAATCATATCGAATGCGTCACTCTTATGATGCGCAACCGGGCGGCGGTGTTTACGTCGAGCAAATGACTCCTCACGTGGAGGGATTTTGGCCACTTCGAATGGCACGATGAAGGCTTGAACCGAGAGCGCAGTGTTCTTATAGCAAATGGCAATAATTTTACGTATCAAAAGCAGTGCCTGCTGGAGCAACTGTCAAGAAATGCCTTCCAATTGTATCATGGGGCACTTACTAATGGCGCGTCGACCCCAATTTGTAGCCCTAACACGTACACGAACTTAGACATTTTACCAGACACTCGGTGGCGGCGAGACTCGAGCGCGTCTGAAGGCTCCCAATCATTTGATAGTTCCGACTGACGGTGTACAAGCTAGTCCCGACTCGCCCCATGAGCGGAGCGCCCTTCAGTTGATACTCGAGCGTCTATAAAGCGCTCGACAGTACCCCTGCCAAAACTTCAGAGCGAACTTCGGACGCACGTCAGGAATTCGGGGGACCAAGATTCTTGTGAGCTAATCATTTCGCAGGTGAAGCGATAGCCAGACATAGGCCGCGCGGTGGGCTGCACAAGGATGCCTATCCGGAAATTTTCTTCTGACTCGATTGACCGCTCTTGTTGCTATCGCAATGCATCATGGAGCCGGTGAAGCTTAGAGCTAGGGTGAACCGCTCTAAACGTGCGAGAATGGACCAATATTCATCATTTCCTACCAGCGTTCAGCGAACGCCCTAGAGATGTTGCCTTGGCGTCAAGCCGGGCGGCTACTTTGAAAGCTTGTCTTGCGCTAAGATGAGGATTAGACTGACACACAGCGGACCCAGATTCACTGACGCTGTGTAGCATCACGGAGCTCTAGTCATGGTGTTGATATAGGACAAGGCGAGATGAATTAAGACGTCATTGGCGTCATTTATGACGATGACGACGGTAGTAAGCTTGTCTTGCGCTAAGACCGTCTAGTGGTATGATATGAGTTCGGATTGATCATCGCGCCTAAAAGCTACGCACCAAGGTGTCCATTCGCAGTACTGAACTTGCACGAAAAGGTAAGCATTCAAAGGCTAGGCCACATCAAAACAAGCCACAGCTTGATGACCAAGAAATTTAAACATGCACATGCCACGCATAGCTGCCCGCAACAAAGGGAGGGTTCGCGTATATTAACCGCCGATTTCTTTTTGAACGAATTCCAGTTCCTCCTCTGATTTTGATTCACCTAGAAGCTCCACTATGATACCTACGCTGTCATCGATGCTCACTGTTGAGCCCGCAACGCTGCCACTGACTACTCTCCTGAAAGCCTGGCCATCAAACATTGTGCCTCCACGGTTTCTCGGAAGGCCCAAACAGGACCCACCCATCGACGTGTGGCTCGCCAAGATTGCTGCGGCCTGCGCCGCACAGAAAGTTCCGTCCAGACTCTGGCACGAAGTTGCCCGGCACTTTATGGGCAAAGAAGCGCTAAGAAGGATCGAAGACGTCGAGAAAGTAATGCGCTGCGTCTACGGTGAACAATGGAAATGGAAATGGGCCACATTCGGCGTCGCAATGAAAAATATGGGTTGTGAGTGGTGTTGATGAATACGGAATGGTTCGTGATAACTGATGTGGAGGCAATGATAGGGGGCACTGATTCCAAGAAGACCGAAAAAGTGAAGGTGCAATGCAAAGCATCCGGAAGTTGGTGGATCATAGGCAGGGCGGCCGATCAAAGCACTGAAGCTAAGACAAAGGAACGTCTGCCAGATATGGGACTTTGGCCAAGAACAGTACAGTGGCTTGATCCTCGTCCTATGGCTGCTCCACAAAAGGATAGTACGAAAGCAAGAGGCACTGTGGGGCTAGGGAAGCCCGCAAAAAAAACCGTGAAAAATCGCTTCAAAGGTGCAGACGACCACAAGAGGGGCCAGTCTATTCTGCCACGATTTTTGATCAAGTCGCAAGTCAGTACTCCGTCAACACTACCTACGACAATCACAGTTCAGATTCCAATATGGCTCCTAGCGGCGTCAGAAGCACTTTTGTCTCTCGCATCCCAGCAATCAAGCGCCATGTCTGTCCTTGCTGCTATTTTGATCGCTGTGGGCTCCATACCGACATTACCAGTTGTATCGGCAGGAGGTACAGCACACGCGCTTGGTTCCATAGCAGTGGGGCTTGGAGCATTATTGAGGGAGAAAGCATTGCTTGACGGAACACGATAGCAGCATCCTGCTCGGGTTGCGTTTGATATGTTACTTATTATCGTGCTGGCAACATGCCCTAAAGTGTACGGGATACGTACAAGGTTTAAATCGAGTTGAAGTTACTTACCATACATCAGTATTATGGACGCCCGATGCCATTACTTCGAACACCTAGAAAGGAGGCAGTTTGACTTTAGGTCCGAGCCATTGACCGCCCAGCTGTTCAAGGATGCGCGTGGTGTCATCAGACTCCCGCAATCCAGGTGGCGTTGGCTCCGCAGCCAAGCTGTCACTTGTAGTCAATGCCATTGCATCGGGCGCAGTATTCGCCGAAGCCCTTTTGGCAGTAGGAACCTTTCGCCCATCGAGCCACAAGCCGCCATGAATCAGCTCGTTGCTCACAGGAATACCGATGCGACCGCATAGACGCGTGAAATAGGGTGGGAGCGGTGCGCCGACTGTCAACCTCAGGCGCTTTTGCGCACCGCTGGGGCGGTAGCGCTGAAGCGGAACGATGAATCAGGGGACTGCGAAATTCATATATGAAAATGTGACCCACGTAGATGGACAGCTGAGAGGCGTGGAGAAACATGTGTTTATCCGGTATTGCGACTACGTCGGTGATTTTCCGAGATAGCTTCGAGCTAGCATAGAGTGTATCGCCAAGTACGGGCGCTGGGGCGAACGATAACCTCATCAAAACAAAAACATTGATAGACTGGAAATACCAACTTTTCAAATTCTCAGCCATATGAATGCGGAGCTGATGCTTGAAACCTGTATATGGCCGCAGCTTCACGAGGCTGAGCGGTACTGTTGGCTAGTAGGTCGGATGCAGTGTAGGTAAAGAATCCATCTAGCTGAAGTGATTACTCACAGAGGACGCAATTAGCTCCCAATCCGTTTCCACTACTGCTCTCTTGTCGACCTCTTGTACTTCTGATATTGATACTCGGCCACGACTCATGTACAATGCGCCGCGAATTGTTCCCGTTCTTCCTGAGAAGGAAGCGGATCCACCCCTGACAACCGCAAGGTAAGTTTTTTCGACGACATGTGTCCGGAACTGCACAGCAAGGTCTCTTGCGTGTGTCGGAGTGAGTGCAAAGGCGAGAGCACCAGTTGTATTCTATCAGATTGAGGATGGACTCAATATCATGACATGAGAGCTAACAATTTGAACTCACTTTGTCAAGGCGGTGGATAGGTATTGGTTCGTCGGCTAATGAGAGGCTCTCCTTGAGCTCTACACACGGCGGTATCAGGTTGCAGCGAATGTGCTAAAGCAATATACGATCTCACCGTCCATAAAACTATTCAAGTCGTTCTTATCACCCTTTTGAAAGCACAACTAATATTAACCAACGCAACCACGTTTCTCCACTTGACAGACCTCATCGTCTTTCCTGTTGAATTGACACACGATTCCAGCAGGTTTGTTCACTACCAGTACTCCATGATCTAAATAGAGAGCATGTCGGGGCCCGCTAGATATTTTCCGTACCCATAGACAAGTACGACGCAAGGAGAAAGCACGGGATAGCATGCAATTTTGTATCGCTACCAATGAGCTTTGCGCGAGGTAAAGGCGATGGGTTCCAAAAGAGGCAGTTGGGAGCATGTATTTGGTTGTATTTGCGGTCTGACAAAAGGGGAACTCAACTCCATCATATATAACTTCCACTAGTGGAACAGCGTCGCGGCATTAGTAGTGTTGTGTGCATACTTTCACCTTATTCATGCTGTATTCTGTCACCTCCTTCCGAGCAGCACATTCGACATCGCAGATGTTTATTACATGGCTATGGCAGTGACAGCATACGTACGCTTTGAGGTTTAACTCCGCAGCCCCAATTTGTACAGGTACTGTAGTATCTGCTAGCGTGCGCATTACGGCTGAAACGCTGGTTCTATTTCTTCTGAGATTCACTGAGCGTAATTTCTCATGGCGGACCTTCATGCCCTTTATGCAAGCAGTGTGGTTGAATGAAAGCGGAAGGGTTCGTGCCATGCCGTCCATCCCGGCACGCCTCGAGCTGATGGCCAAAGAGTGGTTTACACGCGGAGTTAACGCTCCGACGCTCCTAATGTGTATTCTTCGGGCTTCAGCTCTGTCTTCGGTCTTTCATCGCTTGTCTCGCTCGGAGCAAAGCTTACATTGAACAAGGCTATTTTCACTCGTCGGACCCCCATGTTCGCCGATGTAAACACGGTCGGAAAGCATCCGCGAGGGATTTTATCGACTATTTTGCCGCCCGTGGTGATCGGGCTTAGGCTCATGGCGCCAAATTGAGGATATATATATGCGCAACACCCCACGCTTTGGTCATTGCGCATAAGCATCCCAAATCTTTCGGCTCTATCAGCCTCTCTAAACTTCACGCTCATTACCTAGTCGCTCCTTTGCTATCAGCAATTTTCTCGCTCCGTTTTCTCATTCACAATGTCTCGTGCCGTGTTCTTCACGTTCTTTACTCTGGCTTGCATTTTCATTTCCGCTGTACACGCGCTTCCTGTGCCAGCTCTGGACAAGCGCGATACCTATGAGGGCCGGGTAAAATTTTTATCACCAGTGTTAGCTCAGGCCACTCATACGACGTAGGGCACTTACTACCAAACTGGCCTGGGTGCTTGCGGATACACTGACAACAACAGTGACCCAATCGTAGCCGTCTCCCACCTAATTTACGGGGATGGGGGATATTGCAACCAGGTGCGTGGCATTCGCTTCTGTACCAGTCGCTCCAGCACTTATTAAGTTGCTTGTAGTGGGTGCAGATTACGAACACTGCTAACGGTGTGACGAAGTCTGCCCAAGTTCGTGATAAATGTCAGGGATGTGGCTCATCGGATCTCGGTAAGCTAATTTGGACTATGATGACTTGGCGGTACTGACTGCAATCCTGTAGACATGAGCCCTTCGCTGTTTCAATCCCTCGGAGCGAGCTTATCTCAGGGCGTCCTGCAGATTGACTGGGAATTTTCCTCCTAAAATTGCCGTCCAGTAATTTCAGTAATGAAATTCAAGGCTGTAGTGTGTCTGTCATTCTCACTTTCCTCTGATAAAGAGCCCGAGCAATGCTAGCGGTTTATGGTTTCTACCGTTGTGTTTCTGTAGTGTAATATCTGGTAATTAGTTTCGGTCTGTTGTTGGCCTCACATGTATAGTGTGGTATGTTAGTGTATTGGTTTTGTATCCCATTCTGATCATAATTATTCAACATTCTTGGGGGTTGACTTTATCGGTGCATCTTGTGCATATAGACCTTTATGTATCTTCCTCTGGTGCGAACAAAACGTGGAAGGGTTGACAAAGCTATGGCAAGCCGCACATCCAGATTGTGTGTATGTAATATGCATGCCTGAGCTCATCATTTTGAACTCTGTGGGCCTGATATAATTTAAGATTGTCAAGTAAATATGTATCCCCTTTGATCACAAGGTGAGATGGCCGAGCGGTCTAAGGCGCCAGACTAAGGTAGTTACCCTGGGTTTCGGACCCTGAAAAATCTGGTCCGAAAGGGCGTGGGTTCGAATCCCACTCTCATCATCTTTTCTTGCTCCAATAAAGTATTCTGTTGCTGTGAATTTCGTTCGGAAGAGAGGAAGTTGCAATTTTACGGTCCCATTTGCATCGAAGGTCGATTCGCGCGATCAATACACGAAGTATTCAGCGGGCGTCTATGTAGGTCCCATGTTCGAGTCCGTGACGTGCACTATTTTCCGACAATCGTGCTTAGGTGATCGCTTTGTTGAAGCAATGGCTATTACCGTTGCCATATATTCCATTTGACATCTGAGTGGTTCTAGTTCACCCGACAACGAGGCCATGCCAGGGAAGATACGTGATAGTGTCCTGTTACCATGTTCATCGTCATACTAAACTTGCACTACTTCCAATCACAGACCGGGATACCATACAATCAGTACCATCCTCAGGCTCTTATCCGCCTCTTTCCTCGAATCAAACTCCCCAGTCCACTCCCAATTCGAGCAATTTCTTCTTTTGACTCCCAGATTGGTAGGATGATGCAAAAGATTCCACTCATGGCGACCCATATGCTGGTACATGGGATGAGATGTCAGATGGGATCATGGCATGGGAGACACATCAATAACTCACATAGTACACGCGGTCCAGAAGGTATAAAACTGTCTGCTAAAGACGTAATGCGAGAAGAACATCGGGAGGGGAACTGAGTGGTGCAAGGACCATAAGCGATCGAGGCGATTCATAGGATGGGCACCTACCGATAATAGCCACAATTGCCGTTAGGGCGAGTGAATACCAGGCAGCCCTCCGGAAAACGCGCTTGAGCTCTGCTCTGCTGAACGTGTTCTTTCCCTGGAGAGGACCTTGTTCAGCGGATTGGACCTCGTCGATTATGTCCACCTTCTCCGAACCCTTCGTGTCAGGGTCTCTGGAAGGTTTCTGCTCAGCAGATACGTGATCCATAGATGCATTTGAATGCGACTCAAAATCTGCATCATCATAAATCGCGATCGCTCGGGTGCCAGAGAAGTCATAATGAGCCGGTTCTGTCGATAAAGCAGAGTGAATGTCAATAATTAGTCTCTTGTTCATATGCTTTGGAGACATTAGATACTCGCTACTCACTTGCCAGAGAAATCAATATTGTCAACACGGCTGAAAAGAGTAAACCGGTCAATCCACTACAGACGGCCGAGTAGGGCTCGGCAAGGTTGGGGATATTGATGGTCCCTGGTGTTCAGTTTCAGAGTCAAACACAAATGGTTCTCTTATGACATACCAAAGATCTTCCAACATCCTATCATCCATGCGAGCATACCGAGAATGGCTCCCGTGATGGCTCCGACTAGAACAGCGACCCTCGAAAGTTTAGACCATGTCACCGTGAGGGCGATAGGGAATACGGCTGGACTCAATACCACGCCTCTAGCAGTAACGAACGTTCATGATCTTATAATGAACCTATCATTCAACCGAACTTACTGTACATAGAAAAGCTGAAAGAACGTTAGTGAAAATGTTAAACACTAAGAAATTTGCGGGGCTCACCCATCCAAGATCGATGTTCACTGCATTGAGCTGACAACGTATATCATGATGTCACGAAAACTTATTTCACGAGCGCAAATGACGCACTATGGTTGCCCAAGTACCCGCCCAAACAGCCCAAACACATATCGCGTAATGCGAAACACGGACGAGTTCTGCACTAGTGGCGTTCGGTCGAAAGTATGTTCGGTAGACACTGAAACAAGACGAATGATAAGATGTCAAGCGGAACGTCGATGACAGAGAAACTTACTCATAAGCACTATCAAATTGAATACAATCATCAGAAACTGTACAATAGGGCCTGAGCCCGATTTCAACTTACAAGAGGCTTGAAACGCCGATAAGCTCCGAGCTGACTGCAGATGTTACGGCCATGCTGGACATACAAATTAAGTAAATATGATCTCGCAATACTGCAACAAACTCACAACACCACAAGCAGGATAGCAACGGCCCCTCCTTTTCCCATAACCACTGCCGCTGCCGCAGGAGCAACTAGCCCTGCACTCGTCTGAGATGCAGATAGAGGGTTTGGATATGTGGGAAAGGCCGGCTAGATATGAAAATATAGGTTTATCGTTACGTTCGCATTACCTGGGGATCACACTGACATTATTGAGGAGTGCACGAGCAGCCAAGCCAAGACATGAACCAAAGGCCCAGGGAACGGCAAACCAAGAAAGGCCACCGAGCATCTAGGAACAAACGTGACTATGTAAGAATAGTCGATTCAATCATGGGCTCACATATGCCTTCGTCGTAGACTCTGGCGCGCTAGCAATAGCCTGTAAGGTTCCGTCATTCCGACATTGAGAGAAAATCGTATGCAACAAAGTCCTACGCGTTGCCAATACCCTGCGAAGCGATCAGAGTCGGAACATATTTAAAGAGACGATGACATACCTTGATCACAGAAAACACCAGCGAAACCTGATGATAATTTAAGCATCATGCAGCGCATTCTGCGGACAGTGCCTACCTGACAAGATGGAAGCAGCACCAAACACCAAGCCTTGATTAGACTTCATCGTCAAGTAGCTTCCGTCTTGATTTCCTTCGACAGGCGTGTCTATAGCAGCTTGTACTAGAAGGTCGTACACAACCCCAATACTTCCAGTTGCAGGTGACGGGCCACTGCTTAACAGGTTAGCAGATATCGAGTTCGAAAGTAGTACGCTTACTAGACGTGCCCCACAAATAAGTATATCACGATGAACAGCACAATCGTATGCGCCCAGTCACACATGAAAGTTGCACGGAGGCCCCCAAATATAACATACACAGCGATCCCAATCGGCAAGAGAAAGCATGCGGCGATAGTGTTCATACCCGTGAGCGCATTGACAGTTGCGGCACCCCCGACTGATGATCAGGATTAGGCTGCATAAGATAGGCGGGGGAAGGCACATACGCAAGAGAGATCCACATACGACGAGCAGGCACAGGAAGGCATAGAAAGTGAACAGAAGATGTACCCCTGTACCGAAGCGCACTTTAGCAATCTAGACGAAATGTCAGACAAATTCGTTTATGTTAACGTGTTATTTTACCTCTAGAAAAGTGTGAGCCCCGTTGGCATTCATCTTAACCTTGGCGGCGACCATAGCGAAGAAAGCAAGTTGGATGGTACCACCGACACCATACCACCTGCATATATAAAATCGTTGAATTGGAGTAAATGTTGCAACGTGTCTGAATCATACCACGGGCCACTCACGCCTGTAGAAGCAGCAAATAAGGTCGGTACCATGTTTAATACCTCAAGTGCAGATCGGGGCTTACCGAATGTGTATGCCGTCGTGCTAGATTGCAGGAGTGTAGCACTCCAAGTCCACGCGCTTACACTGCATTGATGAGAGATCAGAAAACATATTCAGCTTCTGAGGGATGCCAACCGATCACCGACATGCCACAGCATACAAGTCCAGGCTGATAAAAGTGAATGAGGCATGTGGTCAACTCGTAACAGATATTCTCACCTTGATACTCCTTGATGCACTCTGACGGGCTAACTAGTTGACATCAAGTACATGATCGTGCTAGTGGGAGCTTACACTGAATTCTTCGGAGGACGACGGAGAATACTTGGAGAACTTGGATTGAAGCGTCGTCAAACAGAGCATCAAAGCCGCGAAGAAGAATCCGACGCCTGGTTCATAGGATCGGATGTTATCAGCTTTGAATGCATTCGCTTCTGAAGCGCATACCGACAACCACGCCATATCCAACGCTCACGTCTTGATTCGATTTAGGTTGCTTAATGTAAGAAACTAGTATCATACTCACTTAGGAGGGGTTTGAATTCGGATACACCTGTTTGAGACATCCTACAAAGCGACGCCGGATTTGCAGACTCGCAGACAATCAAGTCAGTTATATAGTCATTCAATGTGCCAAGATTCGGCAGACGATAAGAGCCTCCACCAGGATTCGGAGTCTAGAGTGCCAGGCGCTATGAAAGATGTCTGCCATGAGCGAAGCACAGATAAGGTTTGTTTGTCGTAGAAGTGTTCACGCGAGAACTGGTGCACATATGGTGACTTGAGCTAAATATTCATAGCAAAGTGCAGCCCACAGTTCAGCGTAAAAGTCTGCTGCGAACGTTAGTCCATGGTACTGCGTATCTAGCGGCGATTCTCACATCATTAGTTCAGCACAATGGCACACACAAGCAGATGGAGAGTTGAGTGGGGCGAGATAAGTACGTGCGAGAAAAATTTGGGTGCCGAAAAAGTGATATGACGAGGACTTCCGTCGGAACTAGTGTGACAAGTTAATCCGCATGTGCTGACAATTCGCTCGTATATCTCTGCACTCTGTGACCAATCCAGATTGTATTCATTGACCGAAGCCAGCCTTTGAGTCATGATTGTACCATTTCCATCATCCCTATGCGAATGGTGGGCGGATGTCATGTCAGTCAACGTTAACAACGTCAGATTATTGTGCAATTGCTGCCGCACCATGCACAAATCGGCCGCAAACGATTGGAGCAGAAATATCGAGTCTGACACGAGCCTGAAGCAGTGGTTCCGCATGGTTTCATCGATAGCTTTATCAAGACGCCAGTGAGTAGCGGGTTAAGTCCATGAGCGTTGGGGAGGATACATAAGCGCGTGTGCAGAGAGACGGGCGCGTAATTCAAGTTGTTGAGAGCCTGGCGTAATAGTCTAGTCTGATTCACCTTGACAGGACTTCAATTTCCCTTTTACTCTCCCTTAATCGGAATCCAGGTAATTGAACCTCCATGTCGCGGACTCTGATCAGTTCTTGCTGTTGGCCCTTGAACTGCGCCTTCTGGACCCAGAATTGACTGAGAAGACTCAGGCTGACGTTCGTGAACGTTTTGTTTCGGCCATCTAGCCCGGGCGTGGTATGTCTTATCAGGTACTGTAATATCATCCTGGGATTTTTACTGCTATATGAGGCAGCATACTGAAGTGTATGTAACAGAACTTCCATGCTCTCGCCCAACCATCGCCGTCTTCATCATGATGGCTGCTGCCTAGTTTAGCTCAAGGTTTCAGCGCTTTTACATTCCGCTCCAGACAAGATACAATTCTTTGAATGCCTCAAGGACGGGTTTCTTAAACCTCTGCCAAACTTCAACTACCGTGAGGACTTGACACGCTCACGGGCTATCAGCTGGAGTTTTCGCTTGACTTCCTATACATACTAGTGAACAATCCTGGCTATCCCTGTTCAATAATCTGTGTCATGCATTCAGCGAGCATTTTCTGGGACCTGTGATTCTTCCTTCCTCTTCGTTTTGAGTTTGCTCCAGCAAGGTATGCAATAAATGATATGCTCCCGAGGCTGTGCTCTCATCCGTGATAGTTTAGCTTGTTGGTGACAGTTTCCTTGCGCCTTCTCCATACGACTTTTGACACCATAATACATACTTCACGCAGCCGGACACCACGCTGTCGCCGCTGTCCTGTGCATGTGGTCCAGACATACCATGGACTGAAGTTCTCTTAGCCAATCTTCACATCAACTATCGTGAGGAAGAGAATAGAGGCGCAGAGTCTGACCGCGCTTATCATGCATATCCCTTGCGGAAGCATGCCGCCACGCTACACAGTTGCGGAATTTGGCAGTATATTGGTCTGTGCAGTGGGGTTTGGGAACACTCCCGCAGCGTGTTGACTAGCCGGGGCGAGTTAGCCCCCACTGCCCGAGGTCCCCGATATGCGTGTTCCATTGCATAGTATCTATGCCGTTTGCTTCGGTATATGTAACCCGTCACGGCCACGTGAAGAATGCTAGAGGGGATACGGTTCGTACCGATGAAATCCAACATATCTTTTATAATTATTCGCACGGATCAATGGTTAAGCCAAGGGACCGGAAATCAAAGAGTTGGGCGATTTCGTTTGTCCTCGTGTTGGATTGACAGGTCTGCTAGGATTCGAGGCCATCTTTGACGTACAACGTGGTGCAACAAACTTTTCAAACTTCTGTAGCACCCAGTGATTATTTACCCAAGACAAATCCGGGAGGGTATTCCAGATTTTAGCATCTAAGAAGCCATCTAGTAAGTAAGCAGGCTTCGCAGGACATGTGATCGAACATTACAACATGGTTCGGCGACCAGAATTTACGTTGACGTTGGCATGCGTTGTAAGCTTCGTTGTCTTCTTATCTCAATCACTTCCTTATTGACGCGCTTCGTCACTACCATACAGGAGCGGCGATTTGATCCACTCTCCGAGATACGGGCGCATGTAGCAAAAGTTGATAGTTGAGAGGCTATGTATGTATTTTTACGAGTCCCTGAACCTGAATTGATGTGCCGCACGACAATTGTCCCTTGATTTCACGGACTCTCACCATTTTTATATCCAAATTATAGTTTTTTGCTGGAGTCTCATGAGAAATTCGGTTACACGATTTGAATATCGGTCTGACCCGTTCGAATTACAAGGAATTGGTATACTGATACAGATACAACCTATACACACACTTGCCGGTACGTAAGCCCCGTCGAACCTCAAACTACAGCATTGGCATTCAACTCCGATACCATCTCTGCGATCTTATCGGACCGTGGAGCAACGTTACAAACGAATGGCTCCGGATGACTAATAGACTCGCATAAACAAGCAGCTTGAGGGATATGTCAATTTGATACACGAGAGCTCACCTGACAAACCCTGAAATGAATGCGGCCTGTGGCGTAACAGGGTCTCCACGGAAATCTGTTGTCTTGCTGATATCAAGGGTTGCTATCATATTCGCCACCACCAGCCATATGCTAGTGTCCGCAAATTGTTTTCCAGGACAAGCACTGAAGCGAAATCATGTAGTTGGCTCCGTACGCATCCATTGCTGACACTCACCGTCTGCCGAAACCAAATACCATATTACGTGGATCCCGTGTATCAGCAACATCATGGCTCATCTCCAGGAATCGCTCGGGGCGGAAGCTCTCTGGCGCAGGATAATGCTCGTGATCTTGTACCATAGCCCTGGAAGCGGAAATTCAGAAAGCCACCGACCACAGCAAAACAGGCGAACATACCAGATATTTGGAATGACCATAGAACCACCGGGTATATCATAGTCACGATAGCTGTCGTCTTGCATGACTTTGTGTGGAATACCTTCGTGCGAAGTCGGCATATGTGGCCGTGATAGCTTATCATAACTCACCAAGTGGTACTGGACAATTCCATCTGCGCAAAGGACAATGAGCTTACGGCACTGAGGAAAGACCTAGCCTTACCTGTATACTTCTCTAATCACACATTCCAGATATGGCAACGAAATTCTATCCTCAAAGACAGGGAGACGGTCGGATCCTACAACCCGGTCTACCTCCTCTTGAGCTTTTTTGTAAACATCTGGGTGCAATACCATCGCGAGGACAAAAGTAGACAAGACTGCAACGGTCTACAGGGCTCTTAATTCTTAGCCGTCTAAATCAAAAGGAGAAATTACCGTGTCTGTCGAAGCTATAGACTATCCAGTGAACATCCCGATGAACCAAGATAGAGTGCCAGACTCACCACCATACAGAACGCCCGCAGCGCCCTTTATGTCATCTTCATCTTCTTCTGTTGGAGACTTGCTGTTGATCATTTCCTCAAGTAATGATGCGGTGAAGCACGGGGATGCAGTACCGGACAACTGAACCAGTCAGTACGGTAGCATTGCCACCCAGCCGACTTAACATACCATAGCGTTTTTGACCATGTTGAACGGTGTGTCCAACATATTACGCACAAGTGCTCGGACTTCAAACGCCTTCCGCTTAAAACCTGCGCCGGGAAACCACAAAGGCCAAAGGGTCACTGTAGATTTATGGAGAGTCCATATATCGCTGTTGTAATAGACACAGAAAATGCTTACAGAACGGAAAGAAATCGACAAGCATGGAGCCTGGTCCTCCTGCTTCGACGGTTTCTTTTGCTGCGCTTTCAGCTATGTGGATATATTTGTCGTCGATGGATGTTACAGTATGCCCATAGGCAATCTTCATGATCATCGCGGCAGCAAACCTTGATCTCTCCGTCAGCGAAATCAATGGCATGAGACGAGTCTCACCTTCTAAGATGTAACCTAACATCGCCGGGGTTCTGGAGTAGTCCGGAAAGAAGAATATAAGTCTCCTTATATTGCAAGGGACGATAGCTCTTCAACGAGTCTTTGTTTTGGAAGGCGTCTGCGATCCATCTGCGGTGTTTGCGAAAGCGTTCGCCATATGTCATATGCGTAATGACATTATCCCAGCCCATTCTATGTGGATGTCAGCATTAGCAGAAGAAAAATGGATAAAGAGAGTTTTAGAATATAAAACTGACAATTCCGCGAGTAGGACAAATCGCGGGCGATAGGAATACTTGGAGCTCTTCTTGTCCAGAAGATCCTGCGCCACTTGAAAGGAATTGATTATTATGGTGGGTGTGCGGAACAGTTGAGCGAAGATCACATCGCCTCAAAGTCTGTGTTAGCTACAGAGCTGAACACTGCATACACACATCTCACCATATTTGGAACTCCAAGATGAGAAGAATTTGTGCTGGTTCTGCAAAGGCAGCTGGTGCACGTTCCCCAGAAGAGGGACAGCCTTCGGACCTGGCGGAAGTCGAAAGTCAGCCCTCCCCTTCCTCCATGGGCCAACGGACGACAGAGTATAAATCACTACGGCGACGACGACGACGACGACGACGTAGAGGAGTCGCGGGGTATACTCCAAGAGCTCCATGGTGCAGGCAGAGGGGAAATGGATGCTCGACTCATAGTCTGGTACTGCAGATCTTATAGGCCACCGAGAGGAATGAAATTGACGGCGGACCTGGCGCCGGGCTATCGCGTACTACGAACGTGAGCAGTATCGCATGGTAGCACCAGCTGGACAGCGAGCGTCTTGCCTTGCGCCTAATTTGAGCTTAGATTGGGATCGGAATCAACCAAACGTGGGTTATCCAGATGCCTGTCATCCGTAAAAATGAAATATGGAGCCCAGATGGGCTAGTCGGCCCGATACGGGTTATTGTGTATGGCCGAAGTACTGTACTTCTATGGCTTCGCGGCACTCAGTGGTGGCCATCTTAATTCCGAGAACCTCCCGCACGCATATGAGCGGGGCACAAACGATTGGCCATGCTACAGTATTCATAAGCGGTCTTTGAGAAGCTTCCGCTTCTCTATGTTGAGTCCTGCGCGGCCGGGGTCAGTGAAGGGAACATGGGCACGGTGTGAGAACATCCATACGCCGTTACATGGATCACAATTGAGTCGTTTCGGATATGCTTCTGGCAAGGCCGATCCCGATGAATTTCAGCAGCGATAACTAGATGATCATTTATCATTCAGTCACTTAGGACTCACGACAGCGGGGGGCCATACAGCACTCACAAGCCCACTGGCGCTGGAAGAGCTACATCTGCCGAGGTCCCTCGGCTACAATTGTAATTCATCTCATTTCAAGAATATTCACAGCCGGAGCTCGGAGGGCAACTCACCTGGCCTTAGCGTATCACTGACGAGCGGCGGCGCTGCGAGTTGGACTGCGAAACAAGCTGGCGCCAAGTGACGGACCGCCGTCACACGTTATAATTTAAATGTCACACTCTGTTTGGACACCAATGTGCGTGTACGCGACGCCCACGGTACGGCTCTCGCGAGAAGATGAATCACGCCGTAGACTCAAAGCGGTTACAGTTTTGGTCGCCGTAAATTTTCTCAGATCTGTCTAATATTTGATTTCCTAATAGTGCATGAGCAGAGGTGTGACTTTCGTGCGCCACCGTGACACTTGATCAAATCGAACAGTCAACCCAGACCCGAAGCTCGATGGAGATGCATTCCACAACTTATACTCTCTTGGGACTAGAACTACTCGGTATGTCATCTGTTTCAATAAGAGCCGTACACTCGCTGACAATCAAACAGGGAAATTCGCAATCATAGGACGACCTTTCACAATTTGTTGCCAGCCGCGCCACGTCAATCTTTTCTGCCTTCGCCTCAGGCTTCTGTGTGGGATGAAGGCGAATAAGGGACCTGTCGTGAGACGTGTTCCCTGAAGTCGTCTTCCAACTTTCATCTTCAGAGTCAGCACTCAATGAAATTTGTGACTGAAATGTATCCGATAGTCTCGCAAGCGAGAGCGTGTGTCAATCGCAAGAATAGTCGGAGGGCGAAAATCGGGTTTGATGTCCGTTCGGAAAGAGTAGGCTATCCGTATCAGATTTTTGTTGGGTATTCATCGCTCGAGCTAACCAGGAATCCATCACTTGTCGGAGCGACTGGCTGGGATTCAAGTGCAATTCTCTCAACGAGATGTTCGTCCGCGCGCATTCAGCTTATATCCCATAGCTCCTCTTCACGTGGGAGACAGACACCCCCTGATAGACCTATGATGATGTCATGGTTCTGCACGTTGAGCACATAACTACACCTAACATGCGATATTGGCAAAATACCAGGAAGATGTGGAGGCTATTGCAGGACAAACGATTTTCCTTTTCTGCAGGAAGCTCGCGTCTACGGAAGGTTTGAATTGCAACATTGGCTTCGATTTCGTGCGCTCGTCCCCCTGGCGCTCCGATGACTGCTCGGATGCCAATGGTATGTGGTTTGTGCCTCTGCTGGCACAGTGAGGTGCAACTTGAACCGTGACAGTTCCTCTAACCCCCCCTCCCCGACAGATGGACCAATCGCACAATGTACAGAACATCTGTTAGACACACGCTCATTCTGTCCTTTTCTACGCCCATTGATAAGCGCGGCGCCGGTGTCGGGTCTTATAGGTTGCATCCCAACCCTAGAGGTTGCCGAGATGCCATTACCACGCTAATTTTGATTCCTTTGTCACATCCTTTCAGATGATCCATCCGCTTCCGAGAAAACTTTCATCGGCTTGTTCCTCGAGCCAAATTCTCATTCTGTCTATCGCCGATACTGCCGGTGCATTACCACATTTTCAAACTCCACTCACTAGTAGATGACAAGACTTCCTTACACAGGTATGTGTCCTGGAGCTCTATTCCTGTAATCACTCCTCCATTCAGCACAAAATGATATTGCGAATATATTTTACTTGCTATACGCGACGGGGTCTCCTACGTAAAGTCCAATTCGGAAGCAGCTGCCACTGTTTCGGAATACGCGATGGCCATCTTCGCACAAGGGAGGACACTTACGATCCTGCCACAATTGGGGTACTTCCTTTCACTATTTGTAGGTTCCAGCTGCCATTGTTTTACAAACAGATGTTCATCCCACAAGACTTGCAAATGAACTTGAAGACTGCAAGGTATGACTAGCGCTCCACCTGATTTTCACTGACAATGTCCACCATAAGTTCTGACGAATAGCCGAGAGTATATGGGCCTGGATCGGCGATGTCAATTGCCCAAGAATAATTGAGTCCGGATTTTGAGCAGCTGATCGCATGCTTCGCTGACAATGTTATCGACGAGACGCATCTAGTTCATATCTAGATTATCATCTGGACATCGGGCCATAACTATGTGCACGTTGATTGGATGGTCGAGACCAACAGTTCCATGTGCATGCGCCCTATTTACGTACGCCAGAACTATTCTGTAGCTGTCATAATCCCGTGGCTGCGTCCTCATGTATTCCGGCCGACTGTTCGCTAGGTTTGTCAGTGGGAGTGGCATGTGTGTCCCAGCCGGACACTGTATGATTGGAGTGCAGTTGGTCCAGCCCGGCGGGCTCCAGCACCGGTTCCAAGTATCGCAGACATGACAGTGCGATGTGATCAATACCTGCCAGAAGGCCAAGCACCCACGTTTCGCGCGCCTGCGATATCCCCGTGTGTTGAGGAGTGAAAGTCCGTCAAAATCCGTGGGCATGCGTATGAGATTTCCTAACGTGGTATGCCTCGTTGCACTCCTTTCAGCCTGCCCTCTCGAGTCTAGGAAGTTAGGCTGAGGAGGTGCAACATTAACCAAGACCGCGCGGACTGAGTCAAGTCCCGCGAGAGACGGACCGGCCATGGTGACCCTGACCGAATTCCCGAAGTTTTCTTTCAATAGCATTACTCCACTGCACCGTATTTATACCTGTCACCGGGCTACAGACTATTGTGAGTACTATGATTCTGTGGATTCCAATACAACTTTGGAATCCGAAGCTCAAAACATGTTGCACTGGCAAGGCTATCACGGGTGCGTCCACGTTCATACGACAGATCAACGGGACACCCATTCATGATATGAGATACAGAGTTGTTGCCGCGATGCCGGTCTAGGGAGCTCTCGCCGCTCCAGGATGCGGCTTCGGAATGACATAACCCTTGAACACGCTTCACGAGTGCGCAGGGCCATATCCCGGTTTGAACACAATTGAGGCGATCTAATAAACGCAACATTGGTGTGAATTCGTGAGTGGCCAACCCATCAGAGTCACCCTCTATGCCACGCTTACGACATGTTTCCCTGGGCGCGAATCGCCGCCACACGTCTATCACTTGGGCTAGACACCAACGCACAGCACAGTCTGCATGGGCGATATCTCGGCCGTCATTGATGTGATACTGTGTGTATGTGCAGGTCACCACGTGTCACATACACATGCATCTCAAAGTTCTTGATCAAGCGGATGCTCACAACGAGGACATGGTGAGGCGATCGGAATCATCAAATGTTCCCTGACGGTCTACCTAGCCCATATATGCAAGATCAGGTCTCTCAAGTCATAAAGGTAGCCAGACATTGGCTGCTTCGTATTTCAAAATCTGTGTCCTGTATGTATCGACGACGTAAGGATTATCTTCTTGCGACTCAGGGTTGCGGTTGTGGACAAAACGCAGTTGGCAGATAAGCGGCTTCGACGGAGCTATCGAAAGGCGCAGCGGCTTCTTCAACGATGTTGCGTGCTTTCTTGTCGTTGGAGTGGCGACCTGTTCGACCATAAAATCAGCCGAGGTCATCATTGCAATCCCATTTCTGCAGTCGTCTTCCTTTGTGTGTCCTTCAATCAGAAACACGTACATCCCGAAGGAATCTTTACATCGCCATCAGCAACATTGAAGATGTGCGAACACGAATAGTAAGTTCCAGAAGTCGCTCGGTCGGCTCTCGAGCTGATAGTGCTTCGGCTTTCCTCCTCTGTAGCATAGGCGACTACTATCGTGGCTGCCAGGTTAGTATCCCCTAAACACGCCACCGATCTCCCTGCCTATGTTGAGTAAATCGCATCAGCATTTCCACGGACGATACTATAGCGGAGAAAAAATCGACTGCAATTCCTCCGACTGTAAGACAAGTAGTGCACACAAGCACGGAAAGGGCGCTAGTTGTGGCTGTCGGACTGTGTGTTTCCTTTTTCGTTAGCAGATCAATAAGCTGATAGTTTGCACCAATTACGCACGCGGACGTAGGTGGTAACAGACCGGCAGAAAGTTCAGAACATGTTCTATACGCACCATCCAGATTGCCAATAGTTGTCGACCTTGCGGCATTGACCTTACACCCCTCGCCCTTTCGCCAGTTCCTCGTGACCAATATAACTTATAGGTGGGGATTGTACATCTGTTTGAGCGCATCATTCTAGAACACATGCTTTCCAAAGACCCCTTTCATGCTGCACTGTTTGTAGAAGATGTCATACCTGTATCTAGCCCACGCACCATTACGGATCCTAGGATCCACTGTATTTTATGTAAAGGTAAAGTCTAGAACTTCAGATATGATCATGAGGCACACCGATTGGAGGGCCTTGCTCGGGACTCGTCCGATGCACAACAGCTGATAAACGGGCTGCGTCCCGGCACCTGCGCATCAGGTCATCGAAGGAGGCTGCGGAGCAACGTAACACGCCGTAACCCAGTGACCAAGCTAGCGAGCCGCTCAGCCCCTTGATGGCGCCCGATGGGGGTCCGAAATGGCAAGCCCGCTGTGATTGCGGCCCGCCTTCGATGCCTTTTGCAGCAGGGAAGCACGACATGACACTACTGCCACTCATGAAAATGATGACAGGGATCTGAAAATTCACAACTGGGAAGACTCATCATGTCAGGACTGTCCCACCAGCAAGTACACCCGAACTTTGTTCGCATGGCTATCAGCGAGCAGCGTTACAAGGTGGAGGAGCTAACAGCCATTTGTTGCACCTGACGTCGAGTGCCATATTTTGTATCCACTGCGCGCTGTTCATCTGCATTCTAACACAGACATGCGGGTAGAGCAATGATGGCCCAGCGTCCTTGTCGTGCATATAACTGCGAAAGCACCAGCGATGAGAGACAGCACAACACGACTTTCGTCCACACACCACACACGCACTTACACTTTATCGCAATGGGCCCAGGACCTAAGATCAATCCCTCCACTCCGATCTCTTGGACAGAGGCGAGCATAGAGGCCATTTACAAAGCCACCACAGAGGCCAGCTTCAGTGACGCTTTTGACGCGTTCTTCGCCGAGCAGGTAGAAATCACCGTCAATGGCAGCCATGTCCGCCGCAGCGATTACAAGGCAGAGATATGGCAGAGGAAAGCAGACCAGCTTAGCGCGGGGGTCACCTTCAAGGATGTGGTGCAAGTTAATGCAGACGACAACAAGGTGGGTGCCGTCTTCATCCCCGATCGACAGCAATCCCAACTGAAGAGCTACAGGTTGTACAAGTAGGCGCGTTCTACAACGCGACGATCACCGACCATCTGGTCCACACCAACACAGTCACTTCCTCGTCGAACTTTACGTAGGTGGCCTTGGCATAATCATCCATGAATGGCAGTGCTGACTGGATTTCAGCGTCGAACAGGGCGAACTTGTGGTCTTCTCTGGCGAATCAGAGAGATCGCGAAGGGTAGTTGCCCTCAATGAAACACAGTTGTACGTCCTTGGGCGTGAGGGCTGAGGATCGAGGAGGCAGAGAATATGTGTATTGTAATCACAGGAGGATGGTGATCCACGAATGATTTGAATCGATCCATTCTTGATAGTCAGCGCACTGAGGTGGGAGCAGAATGAACCTGAAGCTTGTTTCCGCGACAATTGTTACACATTGTTACATGTCTTTCTTCAGTTACGTGCCACCCCTTGATTTAAGCAATGCCTCGGATTTGACCATACAGCATTTCAATGGTGCAACCGCGATCTGGTATAAAGACGAAAATGTTTGTTTGGTGGTCCACGCACGATGCTGGTTGCGAGCTGTACATACCAGCTGGCCCTGATCACCTGGGATATGCTGCCGATCACGATCGCGTCTAGCATGATGCCAAGATGAATCTCGTACGGAAGAATCTGAAAACTGTCTGCAGTACTACCGCCAGAGGCCCGAGAGTTATGTGAAGGTGAATGTGTCCATGGGCAAAGGCAAGTGAGTCCAGACTTGGGGTCGAAGCGCGGGCCGCCCCGTGACCGATGCTTAGAATGGTGTTCCCCGAGATGCATAATATTGATTAACATCACTTACATTATCATGAGACGCCTGCACGGCGGCAATGCGCAGCTCGCCCTCCCGGGATCCTCGAGCCGTACTTCGGTTTGCCTGTTGCTCTCCACCACCATGCTTGTGCCCGCCGGCTTCGTCCTCGCTCTGGCCACCGCGCTCGTGGGCGCAGTCCCACAGGCGAGGACCGTCACCTCGAGCGGGTTCACCATCACCCTGTCCCTCGTGCCGTCCATGCCCATCACCGAGCAGCCTCTCTCCAGCTCCCCCAGCGGCATCCCCACGCAGTGAGTCAAGCCACCTTCCCAGCGCCGCAGCGCGCCCGTCGCACTAACCTCCGATAGCAGCACCAACTCGAGCCCCACCTCGGGCACGACCACCGCCACAACTGTGACGCTTCCCGGGTCTGCCGCACCCACAACAACACTCACCTCCGCCTTGTCCGGTACCGTACCGCCGGGCACAGCGTCCAGCTCCACCACCAGCATACCCAGCTCCACCTCCCCGTCTACCACCAGCACGTCCGCATCTGCCACAACGAGCAGCTCAAGCGGCGTCGCACCTACTTTTCACGTTGGCGGGCAGTGGCCGATGCTGCTCGGCGCAGGCGCAGGCGGCGCTCTCGCATTCCTGGTTTGACCCTCTCCCTTCAGCTCCTTGCGGCTCGCCGGCGTGCGGACATAAGAGCAAGAAATGTACTATATTGGTGTTGTATGGATGTATACCGGCTCTAAGAGAATTATGCATAGCGATAGTGATAGCGGACAAGTCGAGAGGACGATACTGTACCAGGTACATACAAATAATTCACAAGTTAGGTATACTGGATATGGCTTGGTGGAGGTAGATGTGGTGCGTGATATCCAAACAGCGCATTACTTAATTAGTCTCGGGCGAGTCGGGAGGTGGGACTACCACCTTGGTCAGATTCAGTCTGGGTGGGATTCTGTATCGGTGATCCTGGCTTGGTTGGGGTCTCGATTCTGACCATGACCTCCCTGGGTCAGCTTGTTCATCCCGAAGAGCTGCATCATGTCAGTCGCGGTGCGCTACGCGTGGAGAAGACACTCACGTCTCGCAATTCTCGCACACTGAGCTTGTGGAGCTTAATGCCAGTGCCTTCACCCAAGGCAGCTTCCGCAAGGCCTGTTCACGTAAATTAGTGTCCCGGTACCATTGCGCTCGCAGTAGCAGCACTCACCGACTTTCGTCTCCTGCAGACGCAGCATTCTAGTAGAGAAAGGGCAATGTCAGCTCCACATCCACCACGCGAATTAAATGCGAGCGCATACCGCTCTTCGATCGTGTTGCGCACGACCAGACGCTTCACAAAGACTTCTTATTCTTGCCCGAGCCGGTGTACTCGGTCGTACGCCTGGGACTCTGCAGCAAAGTTCCACGCAAGATCCATACTGCATCGCACAAGATCAGCGAATGCGGGCTTAGAGCAGACGAGAGGGCTCACTTGATCACACGGTTGGCGGACACAAGGTTCAACCCCACTCCACCGCACTTGGTGCTACACGTCCGCATCTGCTCAGCACGCAGCGTGAAGGCACAGGTGCAGAGGACATGCCTGATGAGAATGATCCTGATCCCGCCCGCTTTCCTAAACTGTGCGAGTACGAGCTCGCGCGCCTCCCGGTTCATCTTCCCGTCGAACCGCAGACTACGGATCCCGTACCGTGCAAACAGGGTCTCCAGCAGATCGAGCATCGTGGTCCCTGTGGCGCGCACGATCAGCATCACGACGGGTATGGGAGGACACACGGGCGCAGCACGCACACTGAGAGAACACGATCGTCTTATCGCCCGTCGCGTCCCACTCCTGTAGCTGCTGCACGAGCGCGAGCATCTTCGTGCTCGGCTCCAAGTTGTTGTCGCCCCGCCGCCACGTCTGGATCAGCTGGTCGGACATCTCGCGTGGCTGCTCCGAGTCGTCCTGGTTCTGTAACAGTGCCTTCTCTCTCCCCTTGCCCTTCTGCAGACCCTTGCGCTTCGCCCGTATCTCGTCCATGGTGAGATCAACGTCCATGTCCTGGGCGCACACGCATGGTCAGCGACGAACGATGTAAATAAAAGAAGCCAACGAACGTCGTCGACATCGCTACCCACCGGCGACGATGCCTTACTCTTACCCTTGCGTTTCGAAGACGGCGAACCTGACAACAACTGCGACACATCTGGCAAGTCCTCGTCCTCGCTCGAACTGAGGTCGATCATCTCCTCGATTTCCTTCTGGCTAGGGCTGACTTTCTGAGGGTGAACGCGACCGGCCCTAAGTGCATTTGATGGAGTAATCCGACGACGTCCGTTTGCAATTTTGCGTACAGCGCTACGGACGTCGTCAGGGGAAGGTTCAAATGCTGACGCACAGAAGACGTTGGAAGGACGGAGATCCATCATCTTCTTGCATGTGGGGCCTTGTCGGATGTATATGAATCAAAGTACGGGTAACTTAGGGGCGAGAAACGCACATGGTCGTAAGCCTTTGGCAGCAGCAGTTTCAAACTCCTTCTCAATCCGAATATTAGTTTGCTCGTCAGCGTTGCCGCTAATACATCATCTTGAGCATTATGAAATTGTGTGAAGCACAAAAGATTTCCTCACAATTCACCATTGTGCTCAATAGGCGAAGCTGAGAGCACTTCCAAGCAATCTAAACAGCAGAAAGTTTGTCAATCCTTAGAAGTCTGTTTCGATATCGTCAGCACGCACCGAAGCATATCTCGTGCCCGCATCCAAGAAGCCGTCCGCTATTGTTCATGAATACTAAAAAAGTCATTTACAAGAAATTCACGAAGCGGTCTTCGTCAGGCTCACAGTCGCCGCACACGGGGCATGTCGGCTCCGGGTTGTCCGACTCGTCGTCAAAATCGAGTTCCGACGCCTTGGCACGCTCCATAAACCTGCAGGCGCTTTAATTTCTCGCGTTAGGAGTTTGACCAAGATCTCACTAACCTCTGCTTGACCTATTGGCAGATAGGAACGAACACCATGACATAAATGGGTCGTATGCCTGCATGACAACAGCAACACGCACCCCGGTAACCCACTTTGGCCCCAAAAGCCTGGTGGCGCGCGCCACCTCCTTGTCAGCCTCACTCCCCACAAGCATCGTAGGATCCTCGAAGCCTTCGGCAAGACTCTACACCAATTGTTAGATACATTTTACCACCAAAACCTCGCAGACATACCAGGATTAAATTCGGATGACAGCAGAGTTGGCGCAATCGGAGGATCAGTACCTGTAACATGAGTTAGGTCTACCATGCAAACGTCTCTGCACGGACACATACGAGCACCGCTGTATGGCTGGCCATGTCACCCCACATGTTAGATTACCACATGACGACACGCAACAGTCACACATACTTCTTGACAATCGTGTTGTTCTTGATGTACCGATTCAGCTGAATACGTGCACGCTTCTCGAAGTTGTCATAGAGCTTGTTATCAAAGATGAGATCTGCGCGCTTACAGCCATAGTGAACTTGAAATCATACCTCTCTCTCCTCGTCAGAGAAGTCCAATGTCACCAACTCGACATTCTTTTCAGGAAGCTGCAAGAGTGGTTCACCCTCCTACGGTCCAGAAAGTGATGTATTAGCTAGGGATACCTACCTTCAAACCACACACGCACAAGCTCAGCGTCCTTGGTACGCCTCATCATGATGGGCTTGAGTATTTCTTGTGCGCGCAAACCTATAGATTAAATTAGGGGTCAGAAATATCAGGAGTGAAAATGAAAATGTGCACCCGCAAGTGGCGCATCGTCTAGCTGCACTCGCGCAATGTGAGCGTTGAAGCTATCCCAGTCGCTGATGAATATAATATATCGGTCAACGTGAATCATCATGCACAGACACATCACGCACTTCCAAGGGCGGAAATGTCCAAAGCGCAAGAAACCGTAGATATCAGCTCTAGAAAAGATGCGATTAGCCAGCATACACGCGAACAATCGTGATGCATACAAAGTGTTTGTAATGGGCGTGCCCGTAAGACACCATCGGTACTTCGAGCGTAGCATGGCAACCGCCACGCTCGAGCGCGTTGCCCTAGTACACGTCAATTAGTACTAGTTTGAATAGGAGCCGATCCCGCTCACCTGTTCCGAATGAACTGCGCCTCATCGAGGACGACTCTGTACCACTTGTGGCGAGCTAGAACACCACTTTTTGCGAAGATCGTCGGATCACTGAATGACCGCGGGACATATCCAGCTGCACGGACGCACCTTTGGTCAAGTAACATCTGCAACTCTTTCAAGTCGTCCACATCATCCATAGGAAAATCCTGGTTGAGGGTCTGATACGTCGTGATGACGACGTCTATGTCACTCAGATCCTTAGCACTCTTGAGCTTGTCCCGCCCGTGGTGAATGTGTACATTAAACATTCCGTTTGTCTTATTCTCAATTTCCTCCTTCCACTGTTCCATGACACATCGAACTGAGTATGAGCTCAAAGGGCATAAGTACACAGACATACTTGGAGTAACAGAGCAGCAGGTACCACGATAAGGGTAGTACGGCAACTATCAGCCCCGTCAGGTAAGTTCATGGCCATTGTGGCAATCATTTGGACGGTCTTTCCTGTAGATATATGCGTGAGCAACATATGGAAAACACGGCTTCCGCAGAACATACCAAGACCCATCTCATCTCTGCATGCCAAATCCGCAGGTGACCGTGAATCAGGACCTAGACTCAGCTACAGCCGGAGGGTAAATACGCACGCAAGAATGCCGCCCTTGTGGGGGCTATTTCGTTCTTGGTTAACCATCCTGCACAATCAAGGCGATGAACTACACATATTATTAGGAGTAAAACATACACACACCAACTGACTCCAATAATTTGATGTGGTAACAGACGGACCTCCATCCCAGGCAGGAGATCTCTTTTACTGAGGGGTTGTCAGAATGCCGGGAGATAAAGCAGGAGATGAGCCCGTCTTACCTGCGAAGGCCAAGATGTTCCATTGATCCTCGTATGGTGACGCCGTGTGACGCATTGTTTATAGCGTCGGATACGAATTCGGCGATTCTGAATCCCAACATCAGCCATCTTACATACATGGGTCAGTATATGCGGACGAACATGGCGTTTTGGTCTGTGCCGCCACGGTCAATCGCGCGCACGTTGCTTTCTGTGTCATAGCGCAGAGAAAAAGTGCCAGTGGCGGACGGTACCTGACCCAATTGAGACTTCGAACCGCCTGCGCGGGGTTGAGAACTGGGGACTTGCGACATCAGTCGCACGTCTGCTAGATTGACGCAATCACGACGTGGGCCAGTTATATGAACTTCGCTAAGCAACCTATGCATCTCTATTAAATTTGCAGCACTCCACGCACCGGAAGATTGCCTGCTTCTGAGCTCGGCAAGATTATCCCTCAGCCTTCTCCTCTTACGACTCTCATCACTTCCAGAAGCACCATCCAACTCCAATTCTCTCTTCGAAATGACTGCCGGAAATTGTTGCCGCGCGAAATCGATCAGAGACTGACCCGGGGCTGCAGGCCGAACAGGCGGAGTGCTTAGGAGAGTTGGGTTGTCGAGTGCAGCGAGGACTCGAGAAGCTCGGGGGGCGGGAGGCGGATTGGGTGTCTGCGGTATGTTCGACATTGCTGGATGAGATGGGCGTTCTGAAACAAGGACAGGAAAGACAAATTGGATTTGGCCAGTGGGCCGACTTGGACGCGCCTGTGGCGCAGTAGCGCGGAAAAAGACTTTAATCAAACACGTGAGACGTGTCGCGTCACGCTTTAAAGCTTACAGCTTGAAGTCTTCCTCCCTCTTGTCGTTGCATTTCTGGTCTCCTTTCACTAAGATCGTATATCCAGCAGGTCGATTCTATTGGCACCTGCATGTTTTTTTTTTACAAGAGCCATAACAGAAGAATATCAAATAGTGTTGGCAGTGTCTGCGAAAAGTAGCAGGACTATCCTATCTATCCATTCGTACGTCCTCCGCATACGCAATGTTCAATTTGAAGCCGCCTTGGCTTTGGTGACAATTCAGGGAGCTATGTTACAGCGGCCTCTGAACAAACAGAAAATTATCATTGGCTCAGATTTGTATCTGAACTTTCCGATCTTATTGGAGATGTTCCGACAGACATGTCTGGGAATATCGCCGGGAGGTCGTGTGTCTTGTGGCTGGATGAGAACCTGCAGCGGACCTGGCTGCATGGGGGCCGTAAACGGAGGAGGGAGATAGGCATGACTTGAAGTTTGAAGCCTGAGGCGAGTGGCTCAGGCTTCAGCTAGTCGGCCGTACGTCCTCTGATGTGGCCAAGTCCTAACGGTGTCGGCGAACAAGTTACGATACTACATTCTGAAGACCTCTGATGACACATCATATAATAGTTATGACCTGGGCAGCCGTAGTCCTCCACAATGCCAGGTCGCAAAACGGAGCGTCCGGGTCGTCGTTGCGGCTTCCGTTCAAAACGAATAATCCAGCCCGTCGGAAAACTGCCTGCCCACCTTCGTCCCCCGCAGGCATGATAAGCAACCCATTCAGACGACTATCACCGTCCGAACCCACTACAATGGCAAAGCCTTTCTCGAACATGGCCCCCTCTTTGCTATCCAAATAGACATAGCCTACATGTACAAACCCAGAGCGACGAAGAAATTCTTTGGTTGTTGTCTCATCATCTGCGGATTTAAGTTGCAAATTCGACAAGCTATCGCTGAGAACTTCCTCTTCCCGGCTACACCTACTGATACGCGACTCCCCCACTTTTGGTGCGGCAAGCACTGCGACTTCGTTCAAGGGAGAGGTCGAGGTCACTTCTGGTGATTGGAACGATTTTAAATGTTCGCCAACTTCACCAATCGTTTGAGGCGATGTCAGCAGCGTAGAAGGAGTTATTGAGCCTGCCAAGTAGACGTCTGTTGCTGTCTGATCAGCTTGACTTGTTCGCGTGAGGTTGCTCCCCGGGTCTTGTATACGTTCTAGCGCAGATATGCTCAATGGCTGTACAAGCTTGCCAGCAGTGATCTCGGAAGGTGTATGATGCCTGTTTGTTACACATGGAACCAGCTTTTTGACGATTTTGATGAAGGGCTTTACTATTTCAGCTCTGTTATTAGGCTTTACTGATGCACTCGAGCTGGGCGTGGCTTGAGCGAGCACTAAATTGGGAAATGCTGCTGTGTAAATGATTCATTGGACTGCAGCTTTGCTAGGGCGGTATTGACCGGTGGTGTTCCCTTCGATTCCCGTGGAGCTTCTGCGAAGATCGGGATTACTGAGGTGGATCGGTCCGATAGAACTCCTTTGCGTTGTATTCTGACCTTCCACCTCGTACCCCATCGCTTCACTTCTCCGCTCAAACAACTCTACTTCTTCCCCGTCCCATATCACACTCCTCACAATCCCTCTAACTTGAAGTTTGCCCCCTTTGATCTGTCCAAACAGGAATCCTTCCGTGGCAGGAACTGCCTCGCAAACTTGAATCTCCCATAGGATGTCACTGACTCTCAGAGCATCCAAGCTTACCTGACCGACTGTAGCTGCCCATGACCATGATGGCGCGATGTACCCAGTATGGTCTGTGGAACCGCCTTGAATGCTCCATAGAAGGTCACTGGACAATGTTTGCTCCCAGAGCCCGGCAATGTATTGCCCCGGTCCCCACCACATTCCGAAAGTCTGTGCCACAGCTGAGATGGCTGGAAGTTTATCGGAGCGATCCGTAAGTGCTCTTCGCGTATATGTGGCGAGGACATCTTTCCAAGCTTTTCGTAGTGCATAGGCATCCTCCTTGGATATCACGTCTGGAGGAGTGCGCGACGCCATCATCATGTTCGGTAGCCTGGGAACATAACGATCCGACTGGCCATATATTGAGGCGCCGCCCACCTCTCTCATCTCGGGGTCGGTGATGTACTGGTACTGCAGCGAGTCTACGCAGTACAAGAGTGTTCTAGGAGACATGGCGCGTTCTTGGAAACACCAGGCCCGCTCATCCACAGGATTTCGATAAGGAGTATACGACCATGCATCGAATACGGAGATGGTGCCCAACCTCCCATCCGGGCACCAGAGCGGCAAGCGACGATCTTCTTCCATGGGATCATCTCTATCTTCCAGGAAGCCCTCGCGGACCCTTCGTGCACTGGCTGCTACAATCGTGACGTACGCATCACGATAAATATTGTGCATGCGTGCGATCTCACGCGTCTTGTCCTCCGCAGAGTCTTGCAAGATACAAAGCGTGTCGATCCATAGGTAACGCAGTTTGAGTTTATGCGTACATGTGATGGCGTCCCGGATAGTTTTAGGGAAGAGGCGAATGTCGAGTTCTTCCTGATATCTGGCCAAGTTCGTTGTCGTAGTGCTATGTGGTTGAGGCTCTCCCCAAACGTAGCTCAATGCCACGTAGGATCCCTGTCTGCCATTGGTAATGACAAGCTTCAGTTTTTGGAGATCCTTGCAGTCAACTACCCGAGTTGGCAGCTCGATGGGGTGCAGTTTTGGACAGGAAGGATGGGACTTATCGCATTCGGCGATGCGCTTGGAGGCCAGTTCAAAGGCCCTGTCGGAACCAACCTGCCACATGACGTTACGCCCTGAGATGCAAGCTGCGGCAGGGTCATCTATGTGCGTAGGTGAGCTTGATTTAAATTGTGATTTTGAAAGGGAAACACACCGGGCGAGCAGTAAACAGGATAAACATGCTCGTGATGGAGCATCTTGATATCCACTTTCAGTTGGGACTCATTATAGGTTATTCTAACCTCAAAGTCCTCATCATCGCCGGGCGGTCCCTTGCTTCCGTTCCGCGCCAGCCCATTAAATTCCACGATTTTCTCCCGAAGAATCCAACACAAAGTGCAGCCTTCCTCATCACCGTCTACGATCGCTTTCCACTTTTGCGTTGTGTAGGAAAAACCTTGTTCCGCTGCTAGTGCCAGCTGACAGGCGCTGAAAGTGAACACAGTACTTGAACAAAAGTCACACACTAATCTAGCAGAGCTGGAAGACATCGATGCTGTAGCGATCATGAGGCTTCTATCTTTATCACAGCGCACGGTGCATGCAACTTACCTGAGAAACATCAGACTCATAGGGATAGGAAAAGTGAATCGGACGAAGTCTGCCTCTCAAACCTGTTGCTCTTGGTCTATGCTGCGTGTATCTCGCGTGTGAGGCTGCATCCGAAATACGACAGCCTGGAGGCGGTGCGGCTCAGTACATGGATTGGTGTCATCTGACCTGAAGAAGCAGCGAAGACATCGGGTTGCATTCTAATTTCTTGGAGCCAAACCAGTGTCGTCGATATGAGTCCTGCGGCATAAGAGCTATTGTAGGTGAGATCATTTTGAGTGCCTAAATCATGTATATATAGGCCCCTTGATTTGCAAATGTCGCCGTCATTCAAGGGTGCGGCATTACTTGCAATATCTTTAAGAATAAGTTATGTTACGGATGTGTGGGTGCAATGGCACTACAAGCTGAGAAAGTCGATGATGATTTCCATATATCTCTCGCGCTCCTCCCAGAACGGTGAATGGCTCGAACCTTCGAATGTGAGCCACTTCGCTTTCCGTATGCCGTCAAACAACGGCTTGCATACCGAATCCTGCATCGGGTCGGCACGCCCGTTTACGACGAACGTGGGTACGAGGATGCGATCCAGTCTGTCAATGACAGTCCACTCATCGTTGTACTCTCCGCCGAACCTGATCAGAGTAGCACGGTCAAGTCATCCGATAAAAGTAGACCTGCGACGTTGGCAGCACTCACACATTTGTGACCACTGTGGGGTCTCCCGTCTCCGGCTTTATCTGTGCGAGTGAATAGACCAGCTCCGTCGGCATCGGCTGCACGGTGCACAAATGCAGACTGCCGTAATACTCGAGCGCCGCTTCGTACTTCTCCTTGTCTGCCTCTGGCCCCGCCGCGATTGCATCTCGGTGCTCCCGCGGCAGCAGCGCATGGAGCTGCCGCTCGGCCTTAATGCGCAGTGAGCGCGATGCAAGCGCGTTACTAAGCACCAGCATGCGCAGACCTGGGTGCTGACGCCGGATCGCGAACTCAGCCGCAAGTGACCCGCCCCAGGAGTGTCCTAGAATGTCGAACCGCTCTGCGATCCCAAGGCCTGAGACCAGATTTTCCAGCTCGGAGATGAACAGGTCGATCGTCCAGAAGGATTTGGATTTGGAGCGAAGGTGCGTGGAGCGACCGTTGCCGATCTGGTCGTAGAGCACGATGGGGATTGATGCGATCCGTGTGAGGTCGCTGAGGGGGATGAGGTAGTCGTGCGTAAGTCCGGGTCCACCGTGCAGGACGACGAGCGGGGTGCGTGTGCTGTTTTTGAGGTCGCCGAAGACCTTGTACCATGTGTGGAACGTCTCGTCGCCGACGGTGAACGGAATCATGCCATCAGTAGTCCGAGTGGTGGCCATGATGAATCAGTACGAAAGCGCGAGATCAGAGAATCTGAGGGGATAGCTGGAGAATAGTCAATTTCACGCGATCAGCTAAGCTAAGTCACGTCGTTCAACCTACGAACCTATACTACCTCGATGCACAACTTGCCAGACAAGTTCCGCTTGTGCACTCACGATACGGATCGCTAAAGTAGTTTGTGGAGAAACTACTCATATGAAATTTTGAGCCCAAGTGGTCCTTAACCGTCCCATTTGTATACCATAGGACCAGATAACCATGCCAATTGGCATCTGAATTGCAACAAGTTGAACCACGTCAATATGGTTCAAGCTGCGACTCAGTCGTAGCGCAATTGTGTCCAGGAGGCCACCACTGGCAGGGCGTGTATGTGACTACGTGTAGCGAACCTCAAAGCAGTATAGTGCAATACACGCTAACATGGTATCTACCGTCTTGAGAATTGCGGACCGCACTAAGTAAGTAGTCCCGAGCGGTGAAACAAACTACAAGAACTCCCTAGGTGCGTGATCGGTCATCAGCAAAAAGCGAGCGAAAATACCTAGCTACATATATAATCCTTAACATACTGATTTTGCATGTCATATCTATGTACAATTAAAAGGTTTTATCCGGCGCCTCCGGTGTTTCACAACACAACACAAGTTTGTGCAATTGCCGTTTCCTCTGGCATGACATTAGCCATATGGCGGCCAATGACACTAATTGGCGGCCATTTTGAAGGATAATGAGAACGTACTGGCTACGATTCGAGTGCGTCGGATAGATTATTACCAATCGTCTTCAAATGGCTTCATCATGGGCATTCGGGATCAGGCCCGGGGCATTGACCTAGGCGCAAAGGAATAAAATAACAATGCAAGTGCTACATCAAACATTTTAATCACAATACGGAGACATACAGTTGAAGCTAGACGGCTCGTGAGTGCCGGCTCGGAATGTCATGGTGCGCTGTAAACTGAGATGATGGAACTAGAGTGAACAGGCATCAATATATGGCTACACTGAAGAACAGTCGTCGTAATGCGCCGCTTAGCTTACTTGAAGTAACTGCCCCTCAACCTGAACGTCTACATTCATGTATTTCTGAGGTTGTCACGTTGTCGACGTTGATGCCCTCGTGCAACTCTATGTACGAGCAGGCAGTAGAGCGGTACAGCTAACCACAGAAATTGTGTGCTCTTGCTACTTACTCTTTCGTCTGTCCATCTTCCCTCGCTAAGATCTGCTAGCTCGAGTTCCTCGCCAGTCGCTGGGATGTCACAAGTTAGCTCGTCTAAGCCATCTTCGTCACTCAATAGCTCGTCCTCCGCGGCAAAAATTAGGCCATCATCAAGAGGTCTACCCAAGTCTCAAAAAATACTGGTCGCAAGGCTGTCTGTCTGTACATGCAATCCTTCCGAATTGAGCCGAGACGACATATCCAAAGGGCGTGCAGATTCGGAGGCAATTCGGAGGTTGAGTATGAACCGTGAGATGAGGATATAAGGCAGACTAGGAGAGTAGATAAGTACTGGGTATTTCAAATCAACGCGCCCAGACCACGATTGCGAATGACTTACGTGTTGACGAACGGGGGCGCATAGTCAGTAAAGTTCTAAAAATGCCCATGTCAAACGTTAATTGTGTAAAATAATGTAGAATATCGACTGGTGAATTTTCACTCTGATGAATCAGTACAAATTGCAAAATCTGCAGTGTGAGGTCTGTTCTAAGCACAATCATCTTTCTAGTTTTGTCTCACAAAAAAACGGAAATGTTCTCACAAAAAGTATGCTGTCCCTAAACAACACCGTCAATCAGAATGCTAGTAATGTCTTATTCACTGACAGAAAATCACCATCTGTGAGGACAACCGATATGATAGATGGTTTGGAATCAAAATATCGAGACGCGAATCCGGGTTGGAATATTGTATGCTTCCAAGTTATGGCAATTACGATCATATCGGAAATGATGGTCGATGCTGCGATCACAACAGAGACTACATAGGAGTCAGTGCTACAATGACTGTTATCGGAAGAGGGCTTACATCTATTTGATATAAAGCGGCATCAGTGCCGGTTGCATGTGGAGATTTTAAATACTTACTTGAAGATAGCGGAGCTTGTCATAAAATAGCCCATCCCACATATCATTGAGGTATTCGCTGCAAGTACATAAGGATATGCGTTCGCTAAAAGATACTGCTTGAGCGTAAGAAGGCGTCAACTTTCCAGAGCATGTCCGTGAGACACACCACGTTGACTACCGCAGGCACAAGTCCAAATGCGAACACCAGCAATGCGGGTCGCTTATCAAGCCTACCTATAGAATATGTTCGTAGAGCAGAAAATACTAGGAATGATGTATTCAGTAACAACTACAGTTTGAAGTACACGTGAGACAGACCCGCTGCGATCGTCACCGCTCCAATTTCTGCAATAAATTCAAGAATGAGGATGGCCTCGCAACTGATTCTATTATGTCAATGCCAAAAGTTGAATTGTACGGACAAACCTCTACTCCATCGTCACATGAGTTTTCACAGGGAGGTAAGAGTATATGTTAAGAGAACTCACGAAGGCGGGAGTCCAAGGAATGGGACCTATGATATTTACTACAGCACTGAACAAAAGTAGGTATCTGTCAAGGAGAAATATAACAGCGGCCCCGGCAGATACAGGACGCAGCCAAAATAGATCAACCTCAAGGGAGAAGGTGATGATATATTCGTAGAGAGCGAGGGCTATCATGCTAGTGTTTCATAAACACGTGAAATGTGTATGAATAATTCTGCACCGCTGGTTTTGTAGGTGCAGATATTATCCAGGTACCCTGCGCGCGATAGATGGTAAATTACGAGTGCCTTTCTCACCGAGCACAGACGACTCACACTAGATCGACTACAGTTGCTATAGATGAAACAGAGAACATTCTGGGGTAAAACTTGCGTATGAGTTGCAGATGTGAAGGCTAGGTTGGACAAGACACCGATGAGAAACGAGTCCCGTTTATGCACTACGGTGGTGGTCTGATAGGATGCTAGTGTGCATGGAGTTCGACCAGTGCGTTTGGAGTATCGCCCACGAGATCAATGCTTCCAAATGATCCAGCATGTCTTCGAGATAAGGAGGATGATGTAATAAATGAGACTTGAGCGCAAATCTTACACGCCCACAGAATATTGTACTGAGACTGTACAGTAGACACCGCAGCTAGACGTCCTTCGAAGTAGTATCCATTATCTTGGTTTTATCATCGATGGGTCTACAGAGAAGGGCTCAGACTTATACCGAGGTACCACCAAGAGCAATTGTAATCAACATGCAGAAAGATGCAGAAGCTTTTTTCAAATTGATGCGCTCCACACCAGGACCACAGAGCTGCTTCGTTTCTAGGATGCATTTGGTAAGGGATGTCGACGTGCCTGCGTTTGTGCGTAGCGCTCTCATGTCGACGCCACGGCGCTTTTGGTGAGGGAGAGAGTGGGTAGGCTTTCTATGTAGCCATAGGCAACTCTTGCACTCTTCCTGAATGATGCTACTCCAATCCAGTGCAGGGCTTTGTCGTAGGACTACAAAATGCACAAGCACAGAAGCCATACAAGCAGTGTGTGGTGAATATATCACAATATATTGGAAAGAGAGAGATAAAGGGGAGAAGAGAGGAGGGCGAACGAGAAGGTGACCACATGAAATGACTCACGGTCAGTGGACATGAGCGAGCACAGTCGGCGAAGCCAAACTCGCGAAAATGTTGATTGAAGCAGCGGTGACACCAGTGAACGAGCATGCCCAGTCCTGTTGGAAGGAAGACATGTGCTAAGACTTACCTGAATAGTAGGGGACGAAAACGATGCTCTCAGATTCTCCTGTAGATGCCACATATGCCCAGTTAAGCGAGTCTCTTCCCTTCTCTCCCTCACCAAAAGCGCCGCGGCGTCGACATGAGGAGAATAGATGAACTCAGTCCAAGATGAAATTTCGCAACGCACTTCTTGCGTCAGTGCCGGTTCATGTTATCAAGTATGGCAGAATCGCACGTGAGCTGAGAGAATAATTGCAAGGTAGCAACTCCACTATTCTCCTAGCTGTTGTAAACATACGGGCGCACATGGGCTATGAATTTGACGGAAACAAGCATGGCGTTGTGTTGCGGTAGAAAGATACAGTGAGAACAGATGAGCGAATTGATTTGATAAAATGAAGAGAGTGCACTTACGGTACCGAGGAGCTACGACAGCGTCAGCGTGGTCCTCAGCCCCACAACAAAGTAAGTGCAACACTCATTTCCAAGTACTCCATCGAGGGAGTCGGACTAGACAGCTGACCAGGCATGCCCAACGAGTTCAAAAGATCCCGAACGACAGAAACTTGGAACGCGGAAGTTGTTGACATCAATGCCCGTAAATTATATGCCACATGTACGTGTCAGCGAAAACATCTCATATTTCGATAAGGAATTGGCTCATAGTATCTCCATATTTGATGAGCAAATCTTCCGATATATACATGGAAGCATGAGACACCTCAGCACTTGGGAGGATCAGAATTTCCTGAATATATCACACACTTGTGCTGAAGGTGACAGGGAGAAATTCGAGTTCGAGAGAGAATTTGACTGGAGATGCAGTCAGAGACGATAGTTGGGACTTGACCTTGAACTTTATTCACAGTTAATTTAAGTGGCGCTGAATATCGTTCTGACGTCTCCACTGACATTTCTCAGAGATGCTGGTTGATTACGCTGAGGACTTTTTTGCTGCCTCGCAAAGCGTTGGCAAGCGCGTTGGTCTGCGGTCTCCTGTGGAAACACTCCCGACTTTCCCCCGCGCCGGGCTCAATTTCGCCTGGGACCGTTCAAGAGTCGTGCAAGTTCCGTGTTTCATCCGCATGCGCAGCTCAATCTGCTCTACTTGCACCCTATCATGCTCAACTTCAAGCTGTCAGGGAGGATCCTTGTCTTGGCCTCTGCGGTAACTCTGGGAGTTGCGCTACGGTCCGTCAATGAGCAAGTACCCCTTGGCTCAGGTCTTCGCCACACCTATCCTTTGAGTAATGCAAAGACAGCTGGCAATCGTGTTATCACTCCAGAGCTTTCGGTTTTCATTGAGAGTGTTCTGAAAAACGCCACAATATCAGGAATATCAATCGGGGTTGTGCAACTCATAGATGGACGAGAGCCTGTCGTCGAACTCGATTCGTGGGGACGCCAAACGGAGGAGGGAGACGGGCATGACTTGACGCCTGATGTGAGTACATACAGCTTGACTAACTAGACATCCATCCGTCTTGCGGTATCCATGTCGAATACACTGAGGGATTACTCGTTACATGCTGATTTGTATTCCGCACGTAGGCTCTGTTTAATCTGGCCTCATGCTCCAAGGCATTCCTCGCTAGTTCAGTCGGCTTGCTCATGGACGACTATGCACAAGGTCGCAATGTGACGCCCTTGCCCCCTGGCGTGACGCGCTTCGACTGGGACACCAAACTGGCCGAAATGCTGCCAGGTGAATGGGGGCTTGAGGACGAATGGGCGAGCATGAAGACAAACTTCCGCGATGCTCTGTCGCATGTCACTGGCATGCCTAGGTATGTGGTCTGTATCAGGTGTGAGGGTTGTTATATAACTTCGGAACCTTTAGGCACGACTATTCCTATGCGCCTGGCGATACCTCCGGCAGCGTCGTGCGGAACCTAAGGAATTTGCGGCCTGCATATGAGCTTCGCCAGCGGTATTCATACAACAACCAGGTACGTGACCACAGACCCCAAAGCTTTTAGTACTCAGACTTCAGCTTGCAGATGTTCACAACAGGCTCGTACGTTGTGAAAAAATACTCGAATATGTCGTATATGGACTTCGCCACCTCACGCCTGTTTGCTCCAATGGGCATGTCCTCTACCACCTTTTGGCCTGAGGAAGCGGCAAACAGCGGGAAGCTCACGCAGACATGGACCAAGTTTGGCCGGCGGATCCCGTTCTGGTTCACAGACGAGGTCGTCGACCTCATGGCTGGTGCAGGCGGGGTCATCTCAAGCGCTCAGGACATGGTGGGTACGCGTGCCACACTGAAAAAACGAAATTGACATCGGAAGCAGACAAAATGGCTCAGCGTGTTGCTCAATTCTGGCGTGGACCCGGTGTCTAATACAACTATCCTCCCGCGGTCAGTGTTCGATGAGATTACCACCGCCCATACGATCATGAAGGGCACGCCGGATAGTCCCGAGATATCTGTCGCTGGATACGGCCTGGGATGGATGCGTTTTTCGTATCAGGGGCATGATGTAAGTTTGCGGCTGCGCATATAGACGGCATCCGCTCATGTTCTTCAGATCATCACCCACACTGGTGCAATCCCAGGCATCTCAACCCGGGTGGCATTCCTGCCTGCGGATGGGCTGGGCTTCGTCATCCTCGCAAATGGCGACGAGAAGGCCGCGGCGAACGAAGTAATCGCTTATCGTATCATCGAGGACGTGCTGGGGCTACCACGGATTGATCGGGTCTTGGGCACGAACTCCAGGTAAGCTGCACGTCTTTCGTCAACTGTCTGGAGCCACTGAGTCTTACGACGAGCAGAGGTCAGGCTACGCGCGTCGATTGCATGGATGGCTATGTCACGGCACCTGCGGCTGATTCGGCTATGGCGGCTGGACGTGCACTGTCGGCAAACTTGAGCGCATATGCTGGAACGTATACCAATCCCGGGTACGGTGCGCTCACGCTTTGCGCGCCGACGAGCGACTCGCACTACTGCTCCTTTGTCCTATCCGATTTCGCGCCGCTGGACAAGAACATAAAGACGCGGACAAACCTCTACGCGACATGGCCACGCATATGGTCGCAGAGTGTCCGAATGGTGCACCAGGACGCGGACACGTTCGGGCTGGAGCTGACTGCGGTATTCCCGCACGGGTATGGCGCAAACAGCAGCGCATTCGAGACGCTGGAGACGGGCGAGGGCGAGGGTCGCGCGGTGTTTGTTGTGGAGGATTTTCCTGGAGACGTCAAGAAGGTGAAGGGATTCGGCCTCATCCTCGATACCGATGCTGTTGCAGCGAGAGCGCGCGACCACACCGCTGTAGAGGAGATTGCGGATGCTTGGTTCGCAAAAGTATGATGCATCATGCGTCTGTTACACATTGCCTGGCAATCGGGTAATCTCTCGTCTAGATCAAGTTAAGCTATCTATCATTCGTTCCGCAAACGATTTTGCGGCGTAGATCATCGTTCATATTACTATTCCATGGAAAGACTCGTTCAGAATGGGGCTAGTTGGTGACCAGATCAAATATTACACTTCTTTCCGACATTCCTCCTTTCCAGCCATCCGATCTAGCCAGCTGTGCCTCGCTTTATTCCATTCACAGGTAACTTAGGTCACCTCCAGTCCAGCGTCGGATGTAGCCCATACGGGAGCCAGACTTCCGATTGAGACTCAGGATACATCATGTCTAAAATCCCAAAGGCCAGTATACCGGTGAGAGAGACATGTCAGCACCAGAGCCCCATTCATCCCGACGAAACGTGCCAAGAGGTCATTGCGACTGACAAGTTACAATTGGAGCAGAGACGGAAGTACTGTCTCCGCATCGAGCGTAACCTCGAGCGAACTCCCCGTGCGATGAGTTTCGGCAATAGTCTCAAAGGTCTATGGATGCTGGGAGTGATATATTAAACAAGTTTTTACGGGAGGTATACAGGGGAATTGTCACGCAAGAGAGGCAACGATGTGTTCCGCTGCAGTTTTGAACTTGACCAGCTGGATTAGCGAGTTCAGAACAACGCTCTGTAGACGGTACGGGCTGGAAGTTGTCGGAATGGATTTAGAGACCTAGGAGAGCGCTAGACCTGTGTGGCCCTCGTCCAGGCAACGAGCGAAATGTTCTCCAATACCTCGACAGGGTAAATTGCCATTGCAATTCTGTGTAAATTGCTACAAAATTGTGTTGGCTTTCCCATTCACATCATAGGAACAAATGAGCGTGCAGACCGTTCGAATCGTGACGCAAAATTATCAGCACGCGACTCCGACAACTCTAGTGTGGTGGACTACATGCCAGCATATTCAACCTTGGAGATCGTGGGCAACAGCGAATGACACATACCAACAGAGATTACAATTCACTGCTGATATTCATTACCTCGGAGGGATCGATTTCCCAACAACCCTCCCCACTCGCGATTTGCTGTAGCCAGTTACACTTCGCATCGTCCCACACATAGCTACCCCTAGGTTGTCGATGGTCAGGTCGAAGACAGGTCACCTTGCTGCTCTGAAGCAGTTTTCGCTCATCTTGCCATAAAATTTGGGGCAGCAGTCTAAGTGACATATCAGGAGCAAGGCGCATCATGACGTGCTCAACGCAAGGGTCATAGTTAAGATTGATAGAGCTTGCAATGGCACCCGGGGCAGCGTCATCGGCAGACAGAGGATAAATGATAGCGGTGAGAGCGTCCCGAAATTCCCCTTCTATGACCATATCAACAAACGGGAAATCGTCGAGGTAAATGTGAGTCAATGCAGGAGCCGCGCCTGCCTGGACGAAACGCACGAGAAGCTCGTAACACCGGACGAGACGAAGACGGCGTAGTAACGGAAATGACATGTTTGGGTCGCGCCTGAAAACCGAAGGTGGAGGCGCAAAGCGGGATTCAGGGTCACGAACGACCGTGAGCTCACTTAATGCAGGAAGGGGATTGATAAACGTGCCCGCTGATATAGGTACGGTAAGAGTTTGCACATGCGGCGCTATAAGTTGCAAGACGCGTTCAAGCGCCTGAGAGGCCGCATTCTCGCACTCCGTGCGGATGTGTACCAACAGCCCAATTCCCAGCCCAAGTTCGGGGTTGGCCTTGCTCAAGATCTTGTCCTTGTCTTCGTTGGGGAAAGAATAGAGGTTGAGGAGTCGAATAAGGCTTTTCACATGGAGTTGGGACCAGTCGGGAAACTCGTCCAGCGTCCTATGTGGGCGATGATCGGAAACGAACAGATTATGCACGCGACGGAGTGCTGGCGACGTGCCCTCAAGCATATCCTTGAATTGATGTACCGCAGCCCACCCGCGGAGCTCAACATTTTGTAGGCGGTACGGGCCCGAGACTGTCCTAATAAACCTTGAGACTTGAGATAAAGATCGACCAGTATGCCCGTCGTCTGTGCACGCCAGCGAGAACACCTGCTCCCATATCTCTATGGGAAATTGGCTCATGCTGAGGTGAGGTCTCATGAGCAAGTTACATAAGTCGATACAGAGGCATGAGACATACGGACCCCTATTGAACTCTTGAGGGTCAGTATTAATCTTTGCAGAATCTTACTTGTCCTTGTATGATTCTGCGGTGAGAGGGAAGCTTTGGACGAGTCTGGCTGGAGGCTGGAGATGAGACACACAGTGGGAATTGTAAGAACGCACCGCTGACGCTCGTCCGTCATCTCAGGCGAAGGGGGTTGTTTGCCGTAAGGATGGTACGCCCTCGGCGCATTCACAAATCACCGTTACATACCATGATCTCGGCTGCAGTACACACAGAATATACCTGGGGGGACAATGGCATACGAATCCAACACAGCGGTTGCTTGCTATGTTATATCCGTTGACCTTTGCCAGCATCGTCGCAACACTTGCCTTCTTTACAGCTGGCGGCGGTCCGCAGCAATTCTCTCTCGACTCGATCTTGCTGTCTTTTCCACGCCCTGTTCACGCAGCCAAGCATGCTATCACTCCCGAGCTCTCGCAATTCATAGAGGATCTGTTGAAAGCGGCGAACATACCTGGTGTCGCGTTGGGAATAGTGCGATTGGTGGGTCAGGACAAGCCCGTAGTCGAGTTCGAGGCTTGGGGACGTCGGACGGAGGGTGGACAAGGGCATGATATTAGTTTTGATGTGAGTACGCGCGATGTTGCACCCTTGTCAGTTGATCGAGGCGAACGGCATGCAATCTATACATATGAGAATGCGTACTCTGGCAGAGGGGAGGAAGGGGCTTCACTATATTTACAGACGATTTGTTACAGACATTATTTCCTATCGCGTCTTGTTCAAAAGCTTTCCTTGCGAGCGCAGTCGGATTGCTCATCGACGACTTCGCGCAAGGGCGCAATGTCACTCCACTGCCTCCCAGTGTCAGGCAATTTGACTGGGAAACCAAGGTAGCAGACTTGCTGCCGGACGACTGGTCACTCGAAGATGAATGGCTGCGCTCAAAGCTAACCATCCGGGATGCGCTGGCCCACGTCTCTGGTATGCCATCGTAGGCAGTTTCTAAACACGTTGAGGTTCGCGGTGTCAACATGAGATTTCGTAGGCACGACTATTCGTATGTCCCGGGTAATACTCCGAGAGACGTAGTGAAGAACCTTCGGAACTTGCGCCCTGCATACGAATTACGCAGGCAATGGTCTTACAATAACCAGGTTCAAAATTCCTCATTACGGCTCTACTCTTCAGCTGACCATCCCCGCAGATGTATATGATGGGGTCTCACCTTATCGAGACCTATGCGAACTTGTCTTACACAGACTTTGTGGATACACGCTTGTTCACGCCAATGAATATGACCTCGACGACGTTTTGGCCCAACGAAGCAAATCGGGACGCTAAGTTCACGCAGTTGTGGACGCCATCTGGACGACGAATCCCGTACTGGTTCAGTGAGGAGAGTATTCCGATCATGGCAGGGATGGGGGGTATCATTTCCAGCGCAGAAGACATGGTAAGCTTGTAGCAACGAATGGGAAAGTTGTCATAATGCATACGTTGTCTGTTACAGGCGAAGTGGCTCGGCATGCTATTGAATGATGGTGTCGATGTGTCTTCTAATGCAACAGTTATCTCGCATGATGCGCTCAAGGCAATGACAACAGCCTATGCCATCGTTTCTGGCACTGCACCCTCACCTGAATTCTCCATCATCGGGTACGGCATGGGCTGGTACCGGTATTCATATCAAGGTCACGAGGTGCGTCTTACGGTACTACAACGACTCATAGAGTACGCCTACTCATTCGCCTTAAACCAGATCATCACTCATAATGGAGACATTCCCGGAGTTTCAACGCGGGTAGCATTCCTGCCTGGGGATGGACTCGGGATTGTCGTGCTCATAAACGCCAGCAACAAGGCGGCAGCGCACGATGCGATCATGTACAGAGTCATCGAGGACGTCCTAGAACTTCGCCGCATCCATCGATCTGTGGGTGCAAATGCTAGGTATGCATTCTTACTTGTTCGTGTAGCCTCTAGTCTCAACGCAGTCTTTCTACTTTCTACCTTGACAGTGTCACCGACGATCCCGACGTCTCAGTACCCAGGCTCCCGCACACGCTCGATCTGGAAGCATATGCAGGAACTTACACCAATCCAGGATATGGAGCACTTACGCTCTGTGCCCCAACAAGCAGCTCAAACTACTGCGCGCAGGTCCTCGCTGACTTCGCTGCCATGTCCTTCCTGCCGGACACGCAGACACCAAACGTCTCTGCTGGCCTCTACGCTGCTTGGCCGCGCGTGTGGTCCACGCACGCGCACATGATGCATCGCAGCGCGGACACGTTCGACCTCGCGTTTCGCGCCCTCTTTACGCGCGGATATGGTGCGAACACTAGCGCATTCGACGCGCTCGATGGTATTGGGAAATCGCGTGCGGTGTTCGTCGTAGATGACGGCGGCCTTCAAGTAAAAGGTTTTGCATTCGTAGCTGACGAGAATGCAGCCGCGGCGAGGGCAAGGCATTCAAATGCTGTAGAGGAGATAGCAGACGCTTGGTTTGAGAGGGTACACTGAAATTCGGCAGTGGTCCATGACGATGGAGAGCTGTAAAGCTGCGCCAGCTTACGCGTAGCTCCACAACGAGATGCAGACCCAGTGGATAGTACGCACAAAACAAGGTAGCTTCCTACAGGAATAACATGATATTCGTCAAATATAATTTATCTCGGTGACCGAAACCATCGTCGAAACCATCCCCTTGTCTGCAATTCTTGTGTGTCTTCCGACGAAATTGGAATATCATCCGTATCATCGGCCTTTACGCTCTTGCCACCCGCCGCAAGCCGTCGTTTGTACTCAGCGGCCGATTCACGCTCAGTCCCGTTCTGCCATATTCCTCGACGTTCAGCTCTATGATTGACTGGCGTTAGCGAGATCTTCAGATGGGGAGTCTGACTTACTGGGCCTCGCCCTGCAAGCGAAGAAATTCATCCTTGCCAAAGTGGCCGTATACCGCACCGGCCGCAGTGTAAACTTCAGCCCATCCAGCTCGAACCATCTCGATGGACAGGCACTTTCCCTTCATAATAAACCCCGGGAGTATGCGTGGTTTAAGATATGGCATGGCAACCTATGTGGTGATGTGAGCCCCCGTCCGACACATAGCACGCAGGCTTACAACGCGGCCGTATTGGTCCTTGCTCCACATCTGGCAATAGACAACCTGGCCCTCCGCTTGAGATTTCAGCCAGTCAAGGCTTTCCTGGAAGTATACTTGTCCTTCTTTGCCGAACCACCTACCCTGTCATGATCTCATGATTGGGGTTTGCATGAAGAAGATAGACGGAGATGGAGTCACCTCTGGCGCATCTGCTGCCGCCAGTCGTATGCGGATTGTCTTCCCCACAAGATCTGCGCGTGGAAGCGTTATGAACACAACATGGTTTTAGCAGCTGTATCTCACTCACCTTTGCTCCTGGTCGGGACCCGTCGGAACTTCAGAGGCCACCTCCATCCCATTCCAGGCATGTGGTATATGTGGAAATTATCCGCATCGCCTACTCTATGCATCGCCGTGATATCTGCAGCATCAGCTGTGGACGGCCGCGATGGGGAGCGGCCGTAGTCAGCGAACCGACCTCGTCACATAGCCCTTTATCCAGCGACGCTTGGCTATCATGTCGGGCGTTACCCATCCCGCAGAGCGTATCCGTTTGAAGAGCCTCTTATATACATATGCAGAGCCGAGCGTGGTCGCAGACCCCAGACAGAAGCCGCAAAGGAGCAGTAGGTGAGCAGGAAGCGAGGTTGCTTTTCTCTCGATTTGAGACAGAGTTTGGGCCGTGTCCTTCCGAACTCTCGAAGCGATGTCAAGAGGCTTGGGTTTTGGTTCTTCTTTCCGCCAAAACCACGGAAAGGATAGCATTATACCAGCAAAGCAAGAGAGTAGTGCAGAGAAGGAGACACACGCCTCGAGGGAGACGCGCGCCGCCACCCTGATCGCGATCTCATGAGTCGTGTGGATCTCATACCAATCAAATTCTACCCAGATCGTACTTACATTATGGATTTGTATTGCAGACGAAGTTACCTATTCAATCTATGCATACACATTGCACAAGGGACAGAAGCAACACACATCTAATGGATACAATTACGATTAGCTCCAGCATTCTTCAATCAGCCGGCCTTCTCTCTCTAGCAGCGCCACGAACTCTTGAGCCTCTTCTTCGGATTTTCCTCCCCCAGTCTGCGCAGCGTACTGTATTGCTGCCTTGACACCGGTAGGCATCTTGTTTGATGAGCTTGAAGGTGATCAGAGAGGATTTCTGTGTGAAAGAGAAGCCATCTTACCCAGAGATATATAACGACCCGCCCTTTGGTCCTAGCAACTCCCAAACGCGGAGAGCGTCTTCACGGATGATATCTTGTACGTACGTTCGTGGCACACCTTCCGGACCGTCGCGCGAATACGCGGCACGGTATGTCAACGAACCATCGGCGGCGTAGGATGCCCATTCACTAGCATAATGCTGGTCTTTGGCAGCAGACCGACAGCCGAAATACAGTGTGTTGTCTGCAGTGTGATCGACCTTAGAATCATCAGAATGGGCTCCACTCCACTTACCCTTATGACCTGTGTGCCTTCTCTCCTCGATGATTGCACGCATAGGAGCAACCCCTGTACCAGGACCCACACATATGATAGGACTCTCATTGCTCTGCGAAAGCGTGAAGAGTCCTTTCTGTATCCCGATCAACAACCTACTACCTGTTATGACGCTGTGATCAATGATTGCAGAGTGCGAAGTGACCATTCAGCTCACCAGGACTCAGACGGGTCAAGAAATCCGTGCAAATACCTCTTCGCGGAATCTTCAACATCGTCCGGTACTGCACAACGGCGACGCACAGATGAATATGGCGCGGGTGACACTGAGTAATCCAGGTCAATTTTTGACTACATAAAGCATGTATAATTAGCGTACCTTCCCTGAGCTTGCAATGGAGAATTGGCGCGGTCGCAAAGGAGGGAAAAGATCAAAGATATAGTTGACAGGTATGCGTGCAGAGCGGAACTCTTCCATGACTTCGCGGATCATTCTTCTCGGGCGTTGACAGTATTCGTACAAGTCATCCTACATCAAATTGAATTCAGCAATGCCACTTATGGAGGCAAGGATCACGGACAGCGCCTTCCTCGCTGAGGAACTCGTCGAGCTTCTCTTTTTCGAGTTCGTCTGTGACGAAATGCCGAAGGAGAGCGAAAAAGGAGCGGCGAGGCACAGCCGATATATCGAGGTATCGAGTGAAAATTCCACGGAGTGATGTCGCGTTGGGTAAATGGGATGGGAGAGATTGGTCTGCCACGCGCAGAATGAGGCAAGATTAGTATACATGTGAAAGATACTCCTACCAGCACGAGTATGTGCAATCACTATACACTGATCGGCGTATTCTGCGTAGCCAATGGTGGCCAGGAAAGATTCGACATCTGTTTTCGAGGCTTCGGGGTGGATAATTGCCACATCTCCAGGTTCGTAGCTGCACAAGTGTGCTGCTCATCAAAATTTCTCGGTGTGTAACTCGTCATGTGAAAAGTACCTGATATTTTCGCTAAATTCGAACTCAAAGTGTCGCACATCTTGGTACCAATCATCTGCTGTGATTCGGCTATTGCAGGTCATCCTCGCTTTATGATACCTCGTGTTAATCTCTATGGGTTCCCGAAACGAGTCCATGCCTGTAAAATCCAAGTTTGTGATTTCCACGCGGGGCGGGGGCAAGTCTCCTGCTGGGCTGATTGACGTCCCCGGCGGTAATGGGCAAAGCAGGAGGAGTTTCTCAAGGAGCTGTGAGATCCAAGGCTCAAAAGCACCATCTATTCTGCATAAAAGATCAGCTAGAATCCATGACAAACCTAATCATGAGTACCAACCCTAGGTGATGCTGCTCATCACCTTCGCCTCGCGCGCAAATCTCTACAGCCCCAAGGCTCACTAGCCGGCGAGACAACAGTTTCGCAGGCCAGCAAAATTTTTCATATGCCGTGTCACCCAGCCCGAATACGGCAAAATGGAGGTCTTCAAATAGGTCCTCTGGGAGATCTGAGCGCAAGAGCAGATTCCAGAGAGACGTCATCGCACGGGGTTCTTTCCCTGATCCAGTTGTCGCTACCGCGAAGACCACAAGATGCTCAGAGATGAGCTCTGCCTCTCAGCGTGGCGAATGAGCTGAGCAGACCTACTGCGGTGAGAATATGTGTGTTACTCACAGGAGAATAGTCCTCCATGCTGTGGACGCGCGCCGTCAGCTGAATTCGTCGACATTGCGCCGCGATCCTGTCCGCGATGTCCTGTGCGGTGCCCGTCTCTGTAGCGTAGAGGATCGTGAGCGTCCGTGGAAGCGCATCCTCGCCGGAGGACATGGAGGTGACACTGGACGTCGCCGTCACAGTCGGAACGATATCATATCAGATAAACCGCGGCCAACGGGATCGGCTCGTATTCGCTTCGGTCCGGTTTGCGGCCGCGAGCTGGACCGCGTCGCGCGTCGCACCGCCTGCATTGATCCCCGACTCTCAACGCGCCCGACACCTCTGGTGTCTCCTCCCTGTCTATCTACGCGGCTCGTGTACATAATCGCCATGTCTGGATTTCGTGCACCTCCCCGCAAGGGCGAGAACTTCGAGCTGAGTGCCGATCTCAACAGTGAGTACCGAGAAAAGCGCAAGGACGCCATTAAGAAAGTCATCGCTAATATGACTGTGCAGAAGGGTATGTAAGGATATATGTCTTGCAGCATTGTGAACTGAGTAGTTTGAAGATGTCAGCGGCCTGTTTCCCGACGTCCTCAAGAACATGCAAACAGACGACCTCGAGCAGAAGAAACTGGTCTACCTCTACCTCATGAACTACGCCAAGACGCAACCGGAGCTCGTCATCCTCGCTGTGAACACCTTCGTGAAAGACACTGACGATCCAAACCCTCTCGTTCGCGCGCTGGCCATCCGGACAATGGGCTGTCTCCGTGCGGAGAAGATCATCGACTATCTCTGTGACCCGCTCCAGAAATGCCTACGAGACGACAATCCCTACGTGCGCAAGACAGCTGCGCTGTGCGTGGCCAAATTGTACGATCTCAAACCCGAGCTGGTACTGGAAAACGGATTCCTAGAGACCTTGCAGGAGATGATCGCGGATAGTAACCCTATGGTGAGGTTTTCTGGCGGCATCAACACTGTGCTCCCCTCATAAGATACATAGGTTGTTGCCAACACTGTTGCGGCATTGTCTGACATCCACACTGCAGCCACTGCCGCAGGCACCTCTTCAGATGCGTTCCAGATCACTTCGGTGATCCTGAACAAACTCCTCGTGGCGCTGAATGAGTGCTCTGAATGGGGACGCGTCGCGATTCTCAACGCTCTGGCTCGATACGAGACGGTGGACGAAAAGGAGAGCGAACACATTTGTGAACGAGTCGTGCCTCAGTTTCAGCATGCCAACGCTAGCGTCGTACTCGCGGCCGTAAAGGTAGCCTCCTTCTCGTCTATACGGAAAGCGACTCATCTGGTGAATCAAGGTTGTCATGATCCATATGCGCCATGTACATTCCGAGAACCTTACGAAACAGTTCTTACGCAAGATGGCTCCACCGTTGGTCACATTGCTTTCGAATCCACCAGAAGTTCAATGGGTCGCGCTACGGAATATCAACCTCCTTCTGCAAAAACGACCAGAATTACTGTCCAATGAGATGCGCGTGTTTTTCTGCAAGTATAACGACCCATTGTTCGTGAAGGTGGAGAAGCTGGACATTATGGTCCGACTTGCAGGAGAGAACAATGTCGATGCGTTGCTGAGCGAATTGAAAGAGTACGAATCGATGGCTTCGTATATTATTTGAATGCTTACCGTCGGTTAGATACGCGTCGGAGGTGGACGTTGACTTCGTTCGTAAAAGTATCAAAGCGATCGGTCAGACAGCGATTAAGATTGACGTAGCTGCGGAGCGTTGTGTCAACGTGCTGCTTGAGCTAATTGGTACTCGTGTCAGTTACGTGGTTCAGGAGGCAGTCGTTGTGATGAAGGTGAGGCCTTCATTCCGCGCTCATCCATCAGCTACCTCTGACAAATCACATCCACTAGGACATTTTCCGGAAATACCCTGCCACATATGAAGGTGTTATCCCGACGCTCTGCGCAAATCTCGACGAGCTTGATGAACCAGAAGCCAAAGCATCCCTCATTTGGATTATCGGCGAATATGCGAACAAGATCGATAATGCGGACGAGCTGCTCAGCATTTTTGTCGATACCTTCACGGAGGAATCTTACCCAGTTCGTCTACGCCCTCGACAGCTTCCCAGTGACGCATGTTGATGACGTGTGACAGGTTCAATTGCAAACATTGACAGCTGTAGTTAAGCTGTTCTTGCAGAAGCCCGACGGCTCGCAAGGCCTCGTGCAGAGAGTATTAAACACGGCGACGAAGGACTGCGATTCGCCTGATGTGCGAGACCGTGCATACATCTACTGGAGGTTGCTATCGACAGATCCTGGTGCGGCTAAGGTCTGTCATTATCCGTTCCGAATACCGAACCATTTTTCAATTATGGGATTCGTGCTACTCAGGCCGTAGTCTTGTCACATCGACCACCAATTACTCTTCCGAGGACTACAGTGTCACAACCGCTGCTAGAAGAGTTGCTTGGCGAGATCTCAAGTCTTGCGAGCGTTTACCACAAACCAGCGGAGACGTTCGTCGGCCGAGGGCGTGTCGGCATTGATACCGTCCAACGCAAAGATTTGGAGTATGTGTATCACGGTGCTAAAAAATATTGCGCAAGCGCGTCTGATGTCGACTTCTTCTTCCAGACCCGCAGACGAGCGATCAGCTGCCCAAAAAGCGCTACAGACCGTCGCGGCCGGGCAGCAATCGGAAAATCTGCTCGACTTCGCCGACGATGGTGCAGGTGACGGACAACAGCCCTCCGGGCTGGCTGCGACAACAGTGCTCGCCTCCACGCCCGCAGCGGTGAATATCCTCTCGGGCACGTCCAGCAACCCGCTGGATGATCTTGTGTCGATCTTTGGGAGCGCAAGCATGACCGTGCCTTCCACTCAGCCGCCAACAAGCGCGACCCCGCTGGTCGGGTTCGGGTTTGCTGCACCGGCGACGCCGTCTGTCCTGCAGGCGGCGTCGCCGCCTGTGCAACAAGCGCCACAGGATGACTTGTTGGGATTATTTTGATTTTGTTGACATTGTATATTGTGTGTGTGGTACAATGACGCATGTTCCCTTACGTATGGCATCATCATTTGCTCTGGGGGTCTGGCTTGGGCACAGGGCACGTAGCTCGGTGAGTTTCTATGTACAGTAAGCCGCGATCTTTCGCAGTCTCGTCGCTGCAGTGATCTCCTATTCCGACTATGGTGGTACGTCTTGTCCCTCAACAGGCCACCACGAGGCCCGCAGGGTGCTTCTTAGATTCCTCGTGCTCTAACAATGTGCATCTACTGAACCTAATGCGCAGCCAGCTATAAGCCCGTATCGCCCCACTCGTAGGGTTTCCTGCATCCGATTGAACATCGTGCAATGAAGACCTCAACAGCCGCGTTCCCGTTCGACAGAGACGACGCTGACGTGGTCCTCCGCTCCTCAGACGACGTCGACTTTCACGTACACAAAGTGATCTTATGTCTCTCGTCCCCGTTCTTCGACGATATGTTCGGCATGCCGCAGCCGTCTCTCTCGGAAGAAGACGTGCACCCCGATAGCAGAAAGCCGCTGGTCGCCGTTAGCGAGGGCAGCAAGACGTTGCGCCCGCTGCTGCTGCTATGCTATCCCGTCGCCGATCCGCCGATGACCGCGCTGTCGGACGTAGGAGATCTCTTGGAAACATCGATAAAGTACGAGATGGCGGAATTTTCGAACCGGATGGAGCAGAAACTCCGCGACTTCATCCCAGAGGAACCGATTGGAGTGTACGCAATCGCCTGCCGTTTGGATCTGGAAGACACCGCTAGGGCCGCTGCCCACGCTAGCTTGCGGACCGTCGAGATCGCGTATCATCCTGAGCTGGATAAGATTTCTGCCGGGGCATTTTACAGACTTTTGGAATTTCGTCGCCAGGATGCACAAGACAGTGCAGAGGTCACGTTCTCTAGACCGCGGCCGACCTGCCCGCCATCGCCCGCAGTCGAACCAAACATTGAGGTTCCATGCGACAATGAAGATAACAGTCATCCCTTCGCCTATTCGTCTGGTTCCGATGTCATCCTTCGTTCCTCCGATGGCACTTGCTTCTATGTTCACAAGCTCATCCTTGAGATGGCATCCTCCGAATTCGCAAAGATACTCCAGCAGTCCCCCGAAACGAACGACACGCACCGCCAGCTGCCAATTTTCGACGTCGCTGAGGATGTAAAGATCCTGCGCGTCTTGTTGCTCTCCTGCTACCCATACGAGGAGCCAGACGTTGATGATAACCTTTCACACGTGGCGGCTGTGCTTCGGGCTGCAACCAAGTATCAGCTGAAGAAAGCGATTCGCAGTGCCAAGTGCAAACTCACGCAGCTCATGGAGGCCAATCCCCTGCGCGTGTATTTTGTGGCTGCGGAGTTCGACTGGAAGGAGGGGGCTAGACAGGCTGCGACGATGGCCATCTGCGAGACCTACGACGCATACGTCCCGGAGATGGAGGACGCGTCCGCGAATGTGTACCACAAGTTGTTGGAGTTCCGCGTGAAAGGTCGCGAGATTCTTCGTTCGCATGATCAGAGTGGATCGGGGCCCTATCATTGGAGCAAACTAACAAACTCTCGGAAAGCGACGGAGGGCAAATGCGATGTTTGGGGCAACGCGATAACCTCTCCCGAGTCTCTGATACCGTCCCATGATTGGTTCTTCTGCGGGTACCAGACCTCTACGGCCTCTGGAACACAGCGCCGAAAGGCTGTCGTCGCTTTGTCCGAGTTGGTTGGACATGTACAAACGGGTAATCGAGGTTACAGTCATGCGCGAAGCGCGGCTGCGGCCATCGCATGCGTGGACGCGGTGCTCGAACAAAGTAGAAAGACGCACGAAACCTTCTTACAGGAATTGCATGAGGTAAGTTGAGTGTGGATGCTCTCTACATTTCTATGCCTTATTCACGAAACTGTCCAGATTGAGCTGTAGGACCGTATCGAGTGTTTGTGTTGAAGATGTACGACTGGAGCATAGACCTTGCGTGAGAATCTCCGTCTTTTTAGACTCATCGCTTAGGATTGCAGTAGTGACTCGACAAATCATTGATGCTGTTTCCGCTCATGTCCACAAATCAGCCTTGCTCTTGATAGTGAGCTGATTTGAGTATTGTGGT